GCTGAGCCACATCCCCAAAGCTCTAATTGTCTTTTATTTTGTGGGCTTAACCCATTTACATTTATTGTCACTCTGTTATAGTAGGTCTTGTGTCCCACAGTTTTTCATATTTTCAGTTACTGCACTAATTCTTCTTCTTCTTATTATTATTTTTAAAAATTTGTTGGTACTGGGATTCCAACCCAGGGCTTCTCAAGTGCCAGCAAGTCACTTTGCCACTGAACTACATCCCACCCCCAGTTACTGCACTAATTTCTAAAACTTATTTTTAAAGTAGATTACTCTTTCTTAGTTTTCTTTGGTTCTGATTTGAATGTAACTATTTAGTTTTATTCTTGTTATAACTACCCTGAACCAAAATCCATATTTTCAGTTATTTACTATTGCTTATATCTGTGTCTGTTGTTACTGCTATCTTTACTTTCTCTCCTAATATGTTACCTTTTCTCAGTTTAGTTTCTGAAAACACCCTGTAAACCTCCACAATTTTGTTTTTAACAAGAGTTTAGTGATTAGTTGCTATGGCTATTTAGTTCTCTTTATCTTTTATTTTTGTCATTACCTCTAAAATTTTTTTTCTATTTGTTGAGATGCTTTTACCTGCAGGACTTCTAATTTAATTCCTTATATTCTTTAGATTTTCTCTTCTATTTTAAATTAGTTTTCTACTTCCATTGCCTTTTAGTAGAGTACCTTGATCCATTCCTCTGGTTTGCAAATTCATCTATTTTAGCTATATAATTTTTATTCCTTATATTATATATTATTTAAAATATTTTCTAATTGAAAATATGCCACTTTTTTCTTCCTTTATAACTTCTATTCTCTTGTTTCATATTGCTGTTATATTTTTTATCTCTCTAAATCATAGTAATGCTTTTGATGCATTATTTTTCTATCCATTCCAACAATTTTTCTTTAGTTGATACATGCTGTTTAATGTACTGAATTTCTTTTATGTTGTTTTACTGAGATATACATATATTTTTAAAATTTGTTCTAATTAGTTATACATGACAAAAGAATGCATTTTGACACATTATACATAAATGGAGTATAACTTCTCATTTTTCTGGTTGTACATGATGTAGAATTACACCAGTTGTGTAATCATATATGTATTGGGTAAAAAAATCCAATTCATTATTTTACATACATTTTTACTGTTAAGTTTTCATAATGAGTTTAGCTACCTTTTCCTGCTAAAGTGAGTTAGACAATGTTCAAGGTCAAGTTCCTGGTGCGTGTAAGCATAAGACAAGGGATAAGGCCTAAACTGAAGATTCTGGAACCACTGCCTCCCACTCCAGTTTGCTCTTCTGGGTCAGGATGCATCTGCGAGCTCCCAGAAGTTGTCAGCATTAGGAAGTGGTGTTTTCTGTAGTCTGTGATTCACCAACCCGTGGAGTATGGAGAGGAAGGACGTGGAGTATTAAATGCTTGCACCTGTTCTCATGGCCGCCCAGCTGGACTTTTGATTTGCCCCCCCCCCCGCAACACCTGAGATCTAGTATTGCCATTAATTTTTTGGTGAAGGGAAAGAGCACTAATTGTCCCAAGTTAATTACTTTGATCTGTCTCGATTGCTCTTTTATGCTCTACCCACAGTTATTTCTGCCCCTTAAGCAAAATAATCCAGTCATCTCTATGAATTCTTGTCCATGTTTTCTGTACCTAGAATGTTCTTCCTTTAGTCCTCTGACGGTTGACTTCTCATTAATCTCATCTTCCCTCAAATGTCACCTTTGAAGAAAGACCTTTCTTTTTTTCTTTTTTTTTTTTTTAAAGCTGCTGAAAAAGGCTTTATTGAGATTCGCTTCTGGGCAAGATGCTCCAGCCCAACACAGTGGGTACCAGGGAATTGTGGCCAGGCTCAGCTGGATTGGAATTTTACTGGGCTTAGAGCAGGAAGGGAGGGCTTGGGACATGAAAGGGAGATTTTTAGAGTCCTTTGTCCTCCTGGGGTTGGTCGGGGATCTTGCTGAGATCCATGTCCTTCCAGGATTCATCAGGAGACCCCGCTGATTGACAGGTGGTTGAGACACCATCACTGCTTGTTTGTGGGCACCTGATTGGTTGTTCTTTCATCTGCGAGCAGGTTGCATGGTGCTTTGTTCCCTTAGCCACCTCAAACTGACTTAACACCATATCAGTTAGAAAGTTCAATATTAGGATCTTCTTTTTTTTTTCTTAAGAATAATGGCAAATGTAAGCTTTAAAATTAAATTCCAAATTGTAAAAATCCTTCTTGAGGCTGAAATGAAATATTCAAAAATCTCAAAATGGGACTGGGGACATAGCTCCGTGGTAGAATGTGTACTTAGCTTGCACAGACAAGGACCTTTGTTCCATCCCCAGCAAACACACACACCCTGTACCGTCCAATGCGCGCGCACACACACTCACACACACAAAAAAAAACAGCAATGAAACAAATCTCAAAATAGTTTATACTCACAACAAATGAATGCCTAATAAGAATAATGAGATAGTCATAGAAAATATATTTAAAAATAAAGAATAAGGTTGGGGTTGTAGCTCAGTAGTAGAACACTTGCCTAGTATGCACAAGTACCTGGGTTCTGTCCCCAGCATTGGAAAGCAAGACAGAGAGAGAGAGAGAGAGAGAGATAATAGATGGTTAGTATAGATCTATTAATAGCATAGAAGCATTGGTATAACAAAAATATTGATGGACAAGCTGGGAAATCAGAATATAGATTTGAGTATTAAATGATCTTGATGTACAACAATTTAGTTTACATTTCTAGGTTAATTTTGTCATTGATACACAATATTTCTCAATGTACCAATGGAAGCTCACAAAACATGTGAGTAGTGGATGGACACTACAGCACATGAACACAAGTACATCCAGGGTTTGGATCCCATCTCTGCCAAAGTGAACTTTTACAAGTTTCATTCTGAGATAGTGTATCTATAAAGGGGGATAATAATGGTATGTTTCATAGGCCATTGTTGTGAGGATTAAATGAAATAATCCATTAAACACAGTGCCTGACATATAGTTAGCACTCAGTGCTTTCATCATCATTCTGACTTTAGATAACCCCCTTTCCCTTCTTTAGGAGTCTCAACATCACGGTTACAAAAGGTCTTGCAGGTGTGTGTGCAATGTGCCTACACATGAGAGTGTGATTTTTCTGAAAGAACTGTGCTTTCATTCTTTTTTAAAAATATTTTTTAGATGTTGATGGATCTTTATTTTATTAATTTATTTATATGTGGTGCTGAGAATTGAACCCAGTGCCTCACACATGCCAGGCAAGCACTATACCACTAAGCCACAATCCCAGCCCTGTGTTTTCATTCTTGTAGATTACTCATTTTGGTAAATGATATTCTAATATCTTTCTTGCATGTTGAAAGTTAAAACCATCACTATTCTAGGCACTATCATATTGTTTAGTTTGGTTTTTATAGCACTATCATATAAAATTGTTGTATGTATTTTTTTCTATCAGAAGGTAAGGTCCTTATAACAATATTATACATATATATACATATACACACACATAAATAAATAAATAAATAAATAAATATATATATATATATATATATATATATATATATAGCTGGGGCAGATTCACAGTCTAGTAGAGTACTTAAAGTCTTATATAAGTGTAATAAACTTTATGAAATAAATGAGCAAATAAATGAATGAAATAAAATTATTTATCTTATTTTCACCCTACTAGTGACTTCTTCCTGAATATAGGAAGTGGATAGTGGAATAGTGTTTTATGTTTTCCTCTTTATATTAAAATCTTCTTGTTTTATAGCCTTCTAGGAGAGTTCTTCAAGCATATATTCTGGTTGATAAATTTACTATATATTTGTATATATCCCCTTACTTGCTATATTTGTGGCAAACTAGATCATCATAGGAATATGTTCTAAGTGTTCCATATCTACCATTAAAATATGTTGACAGTGATGACATCAAAAAATATTTTTCAATGTGAGGTCCAAAGCATGGGGTACTTCCATTTTATTCAACTGATTTTAGATAGAAGTTAAATTTAAGATAACACTCTTCTTTAGTTAGCATATGTCACAATAATTGTTGCCAAATAATATTTTGTGAGTATCTGTATGATCTTTACCACAGACCTGGAATGTGGGTAGGGTGTGAATTCTCATTTTTCAGGTGAGGAGAATGAGATTCAAAGAGGTGAGGTAAGTGGGTGGCACGTCTGAGATATAAACACCAGCCTTCAGTTATTGCCAGATGCAATTGTTTTCTCACTATACAGGTGTCCTTAAGTCTATGCCATATTATTAGAGCAGAGTTTTGGGATTTCTCTGATTATCCCTAAAAGATGTTTCAGCTTTCTTGGCTTGATTGTCCGTAGAGAAAACATTTAAAATAACAACAGATGATTAGAATGTGTTAGGACTATTTCAACTGCTGTACATGTAGTAACATGCTTACATATCCTTGTAGTCCTGAGAGGTTGGTGAAATTATGTTCCGTTAGCAAATGAGGAAGATTAAGTGCCATGAGGTTAAGCTACTTGCCCAACCCATACAGCTAGCAAGTGGTAGAGTTAGAACTATGAACACAGAAATGTGGCTTTTAATAATCATTCCAATCTATGATTGCAGAAACTTTATAATTTATAGCTTACAGACTTTTCATATACATTACCTGTGGAGCCTCACTAACACTCTATGGAGAAGGAGGGCAGGATTTGACAGTGTACCAAGTTTCAGAGAAGTGATTTGACCAACTCCACCCAGATTGCATGTGGTCGAAATCATACTGATATCCTTTCTTTTGAAAGGTAATTATATCTCTATTCTTAGATATGTTCCATTACCCATGATTTTATTAGCTTACTAATCTTAATATGTTTTTTTTTTTTTTCTTTCTGATGGCGAGTTATGTGATTCTGGGCTTAAACTTATAACCTATTTATATCTAATGAATATTTTATTTCTTGTATTTTAATGCTCCTTGATAATGTCTCTTTCAGCTGAATTGCAGTGATTTCCAGAAAGGAGAAAAAGATGGGGATTTTATCTGTACTGCTGATGATGCTGCAGTTTGTGGCACAGATGGGAAAACATACCGCAACAGATGTGAACTGTGTGCTGAGAATCAGTGAGTGGTCTGCCTGTTCTCTGCATAGTCATAGGACGGCTTCCCCCCATCTTTAAGATAATTCATTTTGTAGAAGTTAGCCACCCATAAGCTATTAGTACCACTTTTTTTTTACCACTTTTAAGAAAGGAGTATGTAGAGTTATGTATGTAGCATAATTTTATATTTTACTTTTGTGTGCACTGTCATCACTGTCTTTATTAAGTAAACAGGATAGGGAGATTTCATATATGTGTGTGAATATGTATAATATCTGTACACATGTGTGTATGTACATATATAGACATATACCTGTATGCAACATGGACGTTATATGTATACAGGTGTGTCCTTAAACACTTCTATCAATCTATTTATCTAACATGCCATTTTAAACAGAATGATTTCATCTCAAATGATATATATGTTCATTAATTAAAGTAGTATTCATTAATTAATTAGAGTAAGAAATCGGACCTTTAAATAATGAATTTCTTCTCATCTATTTAATCTTTACCCAATAAATAAAGCATCTCACTGCCCTATATTTTGCCCCCCTTTTATTCCTTCTCCACCCTGGAGGCTAGGCTTGGTTATTGATTGTTTTCCATCAACAAGATGCAGACCTGCTGTGCAGGTTCTGAATTGTGACCTCAATCTTGAGTTGTCTGCTCTTGAGTTTTTGCAAATATAATACCTAATGTATGAAAAGAGTAGTCGGGTCATACTCATTCTTTGATATTCTTTAAGTTTTATCTTTTCTTACAATAAGAATCTCCCACCAAAATAAAACTCTGATCCTTCACATGTTCAAATTTTCAGAAAACATTCTAAAATTAGGCTCTGAACTCCCACCAAGGGCCAAAATAAAGAAACAGAAAGGAAAATATACATGTGAAGAACATGCAGGTTGTTATGAGATATATTTATTTTGTAACACAATTGCAAACAAAAGAAACACTTGTTTTTTACTGTCTTCAGTGAGGAATCCTGTCTAACATCTTCAAATCTCTAATCCAGGTGAAAATTCCTCTCCTTAGATTTCTAGAATACTCCTTGTTATTATACACTGAGAAACATACTGCCCGTTAGGTTTCTTTCTTAATATTTTAAGAATTTAAAATTTAAATTTTAAGAATTTAATTTTAATAATTTTCCTCAGCCAATATCATTGGAAAACAAACTTCTTATAAGTCTTACATATTTTATTTTTATTTGTGTTATTTTTGTTGTTATACAAATCTTAAACTGCAAGCTGCCTTTTTAGAAATTAGGAAGTGTCTTACCTTTATGGTTCTATATTACCAGATATTTTTTAAAGGTCTACTAGACTGAAAAGAGTAAATTATCAGAATTTTAAGTACTTTTCTTGAAAAAAATAGATTACTACTCAGTGTAACCCAAATGAAGAGAACTATAGTGGGATGCTGGATAATAAAAGATTGAATTTGTTTCCTTAAAATAACAAGAGCAACAACAGCAAAGTTCCAGGAAGCATCTCACATCTAATTACAAGTCTTCCTTTGGCCATCTTCTCATGTGAATTCCCACCCCAGACACAGGAAACAAAAGGTCTCTGGAAATTACATTCACAACTCTAAACGTTATCAGCCTTCCAACAGGGCCATTTCTTTTACTTCAAGTTCTAAATGAATAGGCTGTCATTAGACAACTGAAGTAAAGAATGAAATGTAGCACTGTACTCAGGAGGAAAAAAGAATCAAAATACAATGAAGAGAAGCAAGGTGGGAATGGTGGGGAGTTAGTTCTGTGATATTAACTGGTAAATCTGCTAACTTGTGATTTCAGGAAGACCAGCTCCCAAGTTGGCATAAAAAGTGAGGGAAAATGTGAAAGCAGTAATCCAGAACAGGTGAGGGCAGGAGTCAGGGTGGGGGAAAGCCATGGGTGGTGGTGGGTGACCTTATAGAGAAAATGAGTGCTCTCCTCTTCCTCTTTGGTGCATGCCTGCAAGGAAGTAGTTCTTGTTTTGCTTGAAATGGAATAGTGAATACACCAACTAATATGGAAAAGTAGTTGATAGTTCCTGAAAAGAATCACTTTACTTAGGTGGTTAGACCTTCCAACTCTATTTCTGCTTTTATTTTTAAAAAAGAAATCAATCCATCAATCTAAAGGAAACTGCATGTGTGGTGAAAAGGGCCCTAAAGTTCAGTCATTTAACCTGATTTGAAACTCCAGAGTTGTCATTTGCTGACAGAAGACCTTGTAAATTACTTCACTAAAATGATATTTAGTATAAATAGCTACTTTCAATGCTGATTCTGTGAGTCTGCAATGATAGGGGAAAAAAAGAAAGTGTCAAATGCATGTGGGGCTTGACATTTTCTAGCTGAAGAACATTCCTGCTCTTCAGAGTTCAGTTCCCTTGCTTTAGGCCTCTGAGGTCCTCCCTGAAGGATTTTAGTACATACTATTTTAAATGTTTCTTTATCTGAATCTCCTAGGAGATAGTGAGCTACCTGAATTCTAGCACAATCATCAAGGCTTATTGCATTAATGAACTAATAAGCAAATGAGTTCTATACTTAAGTATATGAATTACAACTACTCATTGTGCTGCCTCTACACAGTTGGCACTGCTTTAGATGGCTAGGGCCATCATGATGCAAGAGGTGCTGGCTTCTGTAAAATTTATGAAAGCAGTGTTTTAAGTACTGCAGTCATTCTAACAAATGCCAAGTTCCTTTCCCTGTTCTTCAGGATGTATGCAGTGCTTTTCGGGCCTATGTGAAAGATGGAAGACTTGGATGCACAAGAGAAAATGATCCAGTTCTTGGTCCTGATGGGCGAACACATGGCAATAAGTGTGCGATGTGTGCCGAGCTCTTGTAAGTATCCTCATACCCAGGTAGTCCTCTGAGCATGCACAGGGTTTCTCCCCAGGTACCCCTCCATGGAGCAAACATTCTTTTTAGGAAGCATGCAATCCTTTGTCTTTATAATGTGAAACAGGCTTTGCTTTCAGAATGGCTTGTTTTTTTTCTTTTTCTTCATATAATCAATTGTAGTTTCTAAAAAGGAGAGAATAAAGTGGTTATGCTCATTATTAATTTGAGACCCTGCATTTTTGGAAATACCCAGTGTTTTATAAGGCATAATGTTTTAATATTCAAAAACAATTTTATATAGAATGATCTAGGTCAATAATTTGGCATGCATTGCTTCATTTGGGCATGTGGAGAGACCCTTGTTGAATAATGACAGTTTAACTTTGATAAAAATAATGATGATAATAATAATAATAATAATAGTGCCATGTGTCTAAATTCATTGTTAGTGTAAGTGAATGTAATAAAAGAAAAAGAACAATTGGGTGAACCTTTCTCTGAGTGCCTGGCACTGTTTTAGACACTGGAGACTCAGATATGAATATAAGGCAATTAGTCTTTTATATTCTGTTAAACTAGGAATAGACTCTAATCCTTGCAGCAGTAAGCCTTAAAGTGCTATATTTACATTACTGAATCTTTAAAATCAGGGCAAAAGAAGATTTAACATATTAATAAACTTCACACTTGCTTTTGAAAATGACCTTCAGCAGTTGTAAATTCCAAGGGCATGTTCCATCAGGTTCAGGAGACAGTGATTATTATTGGTTTCCAGACAGGAAAGAAGTGGATTTCCACTTTCTTACCTAGGAGGCATGTGCTTTTGGTGTTCAAACCTGCCCTAAATTCTGTGGTTTTCTGTTTCTTTTCAAGCACCAGCTGAAAAAAGAGTATTTGAGCTTTCTAAGCTGGTTCTTCCACTGTAGAAGTGATATTGCAATGCCTGTCTCCAGGATGAGACTATAATTAGGTAATAGATGTGAAAGGGTTTAGGAGCTCAATTCAAATTCAGCTTTTACTAACAACCATTCCTTTACATGAAGGCAAACAAATGCTTTCAGGTTTAAGAAGCTAAACACAAGGGCGTGGATAGCAATGCCTCAGATGTGCAGTTTGGTTTCACCCCTGTCACAGCATTGTTCTAAAGACCTTGGTTCTGCCTATTAGAGGGAATTTTCCTGACAGCCTCCTGTTTGTCAATCAAGGTGGCACACCCATCCACTGGTACAGAACAAAGCTTCTAATTGACTGGCAGTGAGTCAGTTTCACACCCTTCCTTATCTTTGGTAATTTCTCTGGCTCAAGCATTCAAGACAGGGAAATGCTTGTCTCCTGCAAATGGATCAGTTTCAACAGGTTATGGCAGAGGACACAAAAGTGCTTAGAGTAAGGCTGGATTCTGAAAATAGGATTGAGCCATAAACTAACCAACTGTTTACTTTCTGTAACAGTTTGAAAGAAGCTGCAGAAAATGCCAAGCGAGAAGGTGAAAATAGAATTCGAAGAAATGCTGAAAAGGTAAATGATTCACCAATATAATTTGGCTCATGTGGTCATGAACATTAACCAAATTATGCTTGAAAGTTTAAAATAATGCAATAATGTCATTGTCTTTTATTACCATGTGGCTTCTTCTGAATGTTAAAATTCCTTAAATTTATTTATTTTTTAACTCAGGGGCACTTGACCACTGAGCCACATCCCCAAACCTAATTTGTATTTTATTTAGAGACAGGGTCTCACTGAATTGCTTAGCATTTCACCATTGCTGAGGCTGGCTTTAAACTAGAGATCCTCTAGTCTCAGCCTCCAGAGCCACTGGAATTACAGGTGTGAGCCACTGCACCTGGCTGAAATTCCTCAAATTGACTATTACATTGCTTTGTTTTAATGTTAAAAAATCCCCAAATTGATTATTCCTACTATATTATCATTAGGTTCAGATTTAAACCAACGTTTCCCATTCAAACCTCAAAACATGAATCTCCACCTTTGTTTCCTAGTCCCCCCAAAAGGATCAAGTTTGAGTATACTAAATCTTGCTAATTTTTATCATCCTTCTCCCTGGCATGGCTTAAACCACTTTAACTTGAATAATATTTTAAACAATTGCAACATAATATAAATGAGGAATGACTTTAAAATAAAGTCTTCAAACAATGTACTCCCTGATGTATTTTATAACAAATCCCTCTGACAGAGTTTAGAGTTATTCACTTTTCCATATGGTTATTACCTTATTGAGATCTGCATTTATAAAGGTATTGCTTTTGCTTAAATGAAGATCTCTAAAATTGAGATGGTGGTTCAAAAAATACTCTTAAAATGAAGGGGTTTTCCCCAAAAAATTATTTTGATAATTTAATTATTTTTCAATCTAATACAAAAAGTTATTCCTTTTGTTAACTAAAGAATCACTGTAGCTAATGCAGTCTGGATTTTAAGTCACATCAAACCAACTTTAAATAAGAAGTACAGCAATTGCTTTGCTAAGTGACTGGCCTTTGTGAAGTTAGGACACCTGGGTTTTAGCTTTGTTTTGTCATGCTGTGGGTGTGTGAGACAAAGCAAATCTTCTCCTCTCTGAGTCTCAATTTTCTTGTCAGCAAAATAAGGAGGTTGGATAAAAGACCTCAATTTCTTCTCTTCTTCCTGTTGGACTATGATTCTACATCCTGCATTCTTTGTACTAACACAAACATTATTTTTGTGGATTGTAGGGTTTGTGTTTTTATATGGAAAATACAGGCACAGTGTTTGGAAATCAAGAGCGGACCCTCCTTCCACGTCACAGTGTTAGATAATGAAACAAAATTCCAAATTCAGTGGGGTATTCTGAGTTTAAATTTGAGGAAAAGGCTATGGAGAACCCTTCACAATGTGCTGGACACTCTCCAAGGACTGAAAGTAGTCCTTCCATGGTGGTTGGTAAATTTTGGTCTAAGGGTCCTGTGATAGGTAGCATTTATTACTCCCGAATACAGAAAGTTGTTCTCCCCTGGTTTTCTCCATGTCTGGGCTACTCTGGCTTCTTCTTTATGTGGCTGGGGTCATTAGGTGTAACTGAATAGGACTGCCTAACACTGATGGCTCAATATGGCTCTGTAATTAACCTGTCAGTGGGTTGCTCACAAAAGTGTTTCTTCAGAATCTCCTTGGATGAATCACAACTTATAAACTGAAATTATCATTGTTTCCCTTATGGGAATCATTAGGCATTGATTTTATTACTGTGCCATGATTATCAGCATCTGTTTTCCTAGATTGTTACAACCAGGAAGTTTGGCACATACACTTTACTCCTCCATAAACAGATACCAAGCAGATACCAAGATTTGTTTTTCTTATTATAAGGAGGCAATTAGGATTCTCCTTTAAAGCACCCTATTGAAATTTGAATCATAAAGAAAAATCAGAAAATGCTTGATCTAAAACAGATCCTTAAAATCTTCTATTCCAAAAACCTCACTGTGTGGGTGGCAATGTTGAGTTCCCGAAAGTGATGGGACTTTGTTAAGGTCTCCCAGTGAGTCGAGCCACAGTCTGACTACCCAGGTTCTCTGACTCCCAGTCATCCTCTTTACGCTCATGTTTCCTTGGTTGAAATGGAAGGATGAGGGTCACACAGTTGAAAAGTTTATATAGCAAATTTTTTAATAGTTTACATATTATAGTAATATATGCCATCACAACATATGACGTGGAGATCTCAAACCCAGTGGAATTTGGGGTATGTTTTTTTGTTTAAGTGCAGCCCTCACCAAATAGAGCTTTCAAAACACAGGGGGGAAACCTGAAAGTTCTTTCCAAAGCTTCAGGAAATCTGAGAAGGAATCTCTCTTTGGTTATTTTGATAATTCACAATCTTTTTAGGTTATCTAAGTAGATATTAGTCTTGATGGTCTGTCAATCTCTCAAAGGTGGAGGAGAAAAAAATTAGATTCACTCTTTCAGAGATTTTCACCTATCATGTCAGAAACTCAATAAACAATGATAAAGGAAGCAGAGTACACATAACACTGGACACCATCTTGTTCTCTTTCCCTTGCAAACGAGGAGTGGATTATTTTTTACTTGATCCTAGTAAACTTTAAACATCTAATTTCTTGAATTCTATCTTTTGTCCATTGGAATTTTTTTTTTTTTGTCTTGACTAGTATTTTGTTGGGTTCATGTGGGAAAAATCTTGTTTTTTTTGTTTTGTTTGTTTGTTTGTTTGTTTTGTTTTGTTTTTGTTCCTATGGATTAGGAATTAGCAAGATCTAGTTTTAGTTTTAGGAAACACTCTTTCTTTTTTCATAGGCTGTTTTTGCCTTTTAATAACAGATAAAAGTGCCAAATAACTGCACAAATTGATTATTATTCCTCATTAATTCTCCTTAATATGTTGTTTGTGTTTACCAATACTTCCAGACCTGACATCCTGTGATTATAAATCTATCATGTAAAACGTCAAGATTAAAGAGTGAAAAATGGTGACTATAATGCCTTGTCTTTTTAAGGACCTCTGCAAGGAATTTGAGAACCAAGTGAGGAATGGGAGACTCTTTTGTACACGAGAGAGTGACCCCATCCGTGGCCCTGACGGCAGGATGCACGGCAACAAATGTGCGCTGTGTGCTGAAGTTTTGTGAGTACAGAACAGGAACACTTCCCAATCTCTGGAAAGGAGGAGTGAAGGCTCACCAGGACTGATCAAACATCCATTTGATGTTATTCAGAATAATATCGAGTGGAAGTTTTTGTCCGTGAGAATTGTGTGAGCAGTTTATGTCCTCCACAAATCACAATACCATCACTAAGTTTAGCACTAATTTTTTAAAATATTTTTTTAGTTGTCAATGGACTTCATTTTATTTATTTATATGCAGTGCTGAGAATCGAAACCAGTGCCTTACACATGTTAGGCAAGTGCTGTACCACTGAGTCACAACCCCAGCCCTAAAGTTTTGTTTCTTTTTCTGAGTGCAAACTGACTCCCTTTTCCAGTTAGAGGGCTGATTTAGAAAACACTTCTTCACATTTCCCCGGGGACCTTTGTGAGCCACTTCAGTACCCAGTCGTAGCACAGAATGGGTTAAAAGCAGATACCAAGATTTGTTTTTCTTTAGTAATTACATCATTGTGACAAAGTTGATGAAACAGCCTCAAAAAAATTGTTTACACATTTTAATTGTATTACAATTACCTTTTTATCTGGGATGTGTGGCCTTGGGAAAAGACAAATCCCACTATGTATCAATTATGGCATTTATGAAGATGTCCCAGACAAGTCTCATTACACTTTCCTTCAGATCGCTGAGTTCTATAAGCTCTTACCCACTTGCTGTGTATTGCCAGTGTCTCTCAATCTTGGCATTTTAAGATTCTCTTACTTGGATAAGAACTCTTGAAGTCCTTAATCAAAAATCAATCCTCAAATCCTTGGTAATTTTTTTAAATAACAATCATCACAGATGGTAATTGTATAACTGTTTCTATGACTCTTTGTTGATTATCACCCTATTGGACTATATGTGTCAAGAGAATAGGGAACAGATTCATATATACATGATCGTATACCCAGGCCGAGGCCAAGAATTACCAAAAAATAGTTGCTAACTAAATGATGGGTGAAGGAATGAATGAGTAGATATATAAATGATGATCCCTGCTGTGAAGAAGCTTATGGTTAATAGCAGAAATAAGCCATGGACATGAACGCACATGCACATACATGTTTACATGTTGTAAGACAGAATGAAAACTATCCTATAAGAGAAGAATTTTGAGGTATAACAACACAATGATTTACAGAGAGCTCATGTCTCTATAGGGTCTGGAATGACCTCTTCACAAATTTAAGCTGGGAATATTTAAAAGGAGAGATGAGAAAGAAGATCTTTTTAGTGGAGCTTAAGATGATTTAGATGTGCTTGTGCCAGAATCCAGGAAAACTTGGCTGCTTTTCTATCTATACCTAAGACTATTTTTCAGCATGAAGTTTTAAAGCACCTCTACTCATTTATTTATTTATTTTTCCAGCTTGAGGAACTTTTCTGAAGAAAAAAATAAATCAGATCAAAATCTGATTGAGAATGAAGAAAATGTTAAAGTTAAAAGAGAAATTGAGGTGAGGAAGAGTCTGATCCATCTGGTCATGACCTTTTGTGTGAGAGGTTTGGATGTGTGGGCATATTACTCTAATATGCACTTTCAAATTTGTTTAATATTTTCCCTACTGCTAACAAGTTTTCTGGAAATTAATTTATAGTTATTGTTTTAAACTTATAAAAATGATTATGTCATTACCATTTCTTGATCCATGTGGAGGAAAATAATCAAGGCTCATTAGTAAAATAATTCCACATTCCAAATGAAAGTGGTATATCCAAACATTGTCTGAACTCAAAGTGTGTTGTGTCTCTTCCATAGTGTGGTAGCTGCTGTGAAGATATTCATTTTAAAAGCAATAACCATGTACAAAGTCAATATGCTTTCTTTAAAATCATGCTGCATTCATTTTCTAAATGTCTCTTAACTTACCATCTGCCTGTTTTTCTATTGCTGTTATCTTAGCTCAGACACCTCATAGTTTCCCTTTGCACAGGTGCATTGTCTGGTTTATAAACTTGTAATACACTGAGTCTCCATCTTCCTCAGTCCTCATGATCCATTCACCCTCCCTGTTGTCTTCATAGAACAGGAGATGTTTCATGAGTCCTTGGCATTATGAAATTCCAATGTTTAAAAATATCCTAGAGTATATTTGAGTCATTTATTGAAATGCTAGAAATCTGTTGTGCAGAAACCCTATTTAGATTTATTCTTACTGTTACCAGCCTTCTCAGATACATAGCTTAGTTTGGCAGAGTGACCTGCCCCATTAAAGCTGCCTCTGTGTAACTCCATCTTGTTGCCTAGGCTTTAATTTTAACTTCTTTCTTCCTCTTAATCTTAGTTTACCAAGTTCCTGTAATTTTAGTGCTCAAATATGCCTCGACTATTCGATTATCTCTCACTTCCAATTCCTCCCTTCCCCATCTCTCCCTACCTTGGTTCGTTCCTTCCCATCCTCCTTTCTTTCTGTTTCTAGAATCTGGTTAGTTTCTTTAATTTCAATCTCTATTCACTCAATTCCTTCACAAATTTCTTTGACAATCTTTCTAAAACAAATATGACTCTGTCATTCTCTGCTCTATGTATTTATCATGTTTTCATTGCCTATGGATAAAATCCAAATTCCTTTAGAAGTTTAGAGGTCTGGTTTTGATCATATTCAAGGTCTCCTTTTTGACCACTTCACAAACCTTTCTTTTTTCACACAACTAATTGTTTAGCTACTATACTCAAGGAAATGTCAAATTATCTCTAGAGAACATGTAGTATAATACTGCCAGGATTTTACATATCATAATTCCTCTTGAAGGACTTTTGTTCCATAGTGATCCTGTGTACATCCTCAAGACAGAACTTAGTCAAAAGTTCTTAGAACTTCCATTACACAATTAATCTAGACCTGAGTTATATTTCTTAGCCATGTATATTGAAATTACTTATTCTATTTGGCTAATAGAGGACCTAAATCACATTCATTTTTGTATGCTCTTCATGTATTTGTTAAATCTTTAAATGGATGAATATTGCAAGAAGGGAAGTGTTACAAAATTTTTGGTAGTCCTAAATCCTAAGTTTTATTTTTTTTTTCATCTGAAATTTCTCTTTTCCAATTTCTTTGAATAAACAGCATACAAAATTTACAAATAGAGACCTATGTCTAAAGTATCTAATTTTCATTATTCAGAAACAATGCAGCGAATATCGAGATCATGCAAAGAAGGGGATACTTTTCTGTACCAGAGAAAATGACCCTGTCCGTGGTCTAGATGGAAAAATGCACGGCAACCTGTGCTCCATGTGCCAAGCCTTCTTGTGAGTATCAAGTTTTAGAATGTCACATGGTGCCCTAGTATAGCCAGTTTGTTCCATAGATAGGAAAACCATGGTGCAAGATTGGAGAGTTGGAAGTGTCACAAGCACAATGCTGCAGTAGAGCTGAAAGTAAGTGCTCAGAGTCATTTTTAAGTTGCCTTGTTTTCTCTGACGTTCACTCTCTTAGCACTGGAACCTCCTGACAAACGTAAACTTATAAAAATCTTAGTTGCTGCTTTGTTACTGAAGCTTCATAGGTGAACCTATTTGACAAAATAGGCACCTCATTTTCCATGGGAGTTGGAGTCAAAAGTTAGCACTGGTAGAAATTGAATGGAATTGCCAAACTTCTCTAAAATTATCTTAAACATTACTTTATATACTCTGACATTTTTAGTAAGTGAGAACTAGCAGTTTCCTTTTACTATTTAGAATAGTTCTTACTTTATTTGGTTATGCTCAGACTAAGTATTAGACTATATCTAGATTATAAAAAAGCTATATTTAACTTTTTGTTCTGGTTAATAGCCATGTACAGCTGAAATACCATCAGGTAACTGTGCATACCATACAATTGCATTGTACAAAACAAATTTAGGGTCATTTGGTTTATCAATGTGTGGAAATCATGATTTTTTTTACCGGTTGGTATCATCTTTTGGCTTTTACATAAAATAGCTATGAATAAACACTGCATTTAAGTTTAATTGAAACCCACTGTCTACATGATGTGTAGATGGACCATGGTCTTGAGGGAGGATACTTTGGTTGCAGTTACATCCTGAAAATAGAGATAGCCAAGGCCTTTCTGCCTCTCATCCTTTCTGAGAAACAAGAAACAAGATAATGAATCAGTGAACTTGGTTAAAGCTGCTTTCCACCTCCAGATGTTATATCGCCATTATTCTAATTCTGATATCTATCTTCTTTGTGAACCTTGATGATCTTTTTCTCACCATATGCAAGAAGGATAATTTACAGAAAACAAGTTTTCCAGATACACTATTTCCATCTTTCTTTTAATGTTAAGTAGCAACTATGAAGAAGTCATTATACCAAACTGGAGGTATTATACCAAACCTGAGGCTGCTTTGTTGCTTCTTTTTGATATGTCATGATAGAGGGAAAGGGATGCTCCTCCTTAAGAGGGAGGAAAGATCAGTGGTGCAGGCATGCAAAAAAAAAAAAAAAATCAGCACGTGTTTGCTCTTAATGGATCTCTTCTATTTTCTTTTTCATTCAGCCAACAAGAAGCTGAAGAAAAGAAAAAGGCTAAAGCCCAAGCAAGAAACAAAAGAGGATCTGAAAAAGCACCTTCATATGAAGTGAGTGGGATCCATCTAACAAATCCTCCTCTAACTGAACACCTCAAAGAAACTATCAGAAAATCCCAACCCTTCAATCCCAGATAGCATTGAGTTGAATGCAGTGGGATATTGTGCTGTTCTTGGATCTTCAGAGACTAACTTGTCAACTATAAAGAACTTCTTGGAGTCAATAATTGAGTTCCAGTTCTAGTTTCAACCTTTCCAGATAGAGGCTTTTAGCTATTGCTAAGTACTGTCCAGAAAAACTGTACGTGTGCAATTTCTCCAGATGAATACCTGAAATTTAATATCTGAGTCGAAATAAAAATTCCCTGATTCTATAAAAGACATGGATTTCACCTCTAAAATATTACAGTATTCATTAGATGAATGATCAGCACAACCTGTTGTAATGATGAGTGTTGCTTAATTCTCTCTCTAGATTCTGTCCTTTCTCTTATCCTCCTCTTATCCAAACATTAACTTAATACAGTAAAAGTAATATTGCAAAATGTAAATCAGGTCATAATACTGCTCTACTTAACCCACAGACACTCCTTATCAGCTACAGGGTACAGTTTAGTCTCATGCCTCTCTCTTAATTTGCTTCTTTACCTCCATTCAGAAATCCACTTTCCACTATGTGCTATATAATTTTGCATCTGTGTCTCTTGGCTTCTTTTATTTTCACAATGTAGTGCACATATTCTAAAGTTCATTTTTTTAACCTAGGAAAATGCTACTTTTGACAGACTTACTTAAATTATTCTTGACATATTTCCTGGTTTCCACCATCAAATTCCATGATCTCAGACATTTAGTTGTCAGATATATTGTACCTGTATATTTTCATTTATTTTATTCTGTTCAGTTTATGGTAGGGTTTGCTTGGGTACCTCTTATATCATATTGTGATGTTCTATTATTTCTTATGTGTGGCCATTTCTTAGAAAATGATATTTTGTTATTGTTGTTGACTTAAATTTTACATTTATGAGAAATATAATTAAAATCCTGGGCTTATCAAAATATAACACTAATTTAGGCCAATGTAGATGTTTGAATTAACTTCCTTCCCATACCATGGCAGGATCTTTGCAGTGAATATCGACAGTTGGTGAGGGATGGGAGACTCCCCTGCACCAGAGAGAATGACCCCATTCAGGGTCCAGATGGGAAAATGCATGGCAACACCTGCTCCATGTGTCAGGCCTTCTTGTAAGTAGAGTCACAGCCAGAGAAACAAGGGAGGGCGTTACCCTCTCTGCTTCCTTTTATGCTCAATTTGGAAAGGAACTTCTTCAGTAGGGAACTACAAGAATTAAAACATATTTGAAGAAACTGGCTCATTGGAGAAACATATAAAAACCATGTCCCTACACTTAGGTCAGGGAAGAGTCACAGTTTTGAAAGATCCAAGAAGTGAAACAGGACTTTTCTAGGTTGCCTCCACAGATGCAATTGAGGCCAGTGAGTGAAAGCTCTGGAAGACAGGCTCCAGCTCAATGCCAGGAAGAACCTCCCAACAGTTTGATGATTCCAAAGATGGAATGACTTACCATTGAGTGTCAAGGATGATATAGGTAAAGGCATTAAATGACAGATTAAAGCAAAGGACAGTCATCATAGATATAGTCCTAAGCACTGGAAGTTTAGAAAACCACCTCTGAACTAGGGTCTAAATTCTTCACTTGCACTTACAATTCTGTCCTTGGACAAATTAGGCATTCTGACTCTTTTCTTATTAGAAAAAAATGTGTTAAAGTAATAGTTTTACTACCTAAAGTCATGCCTATTTCATAGTATGAGCACAGACTTAGGCACACAGTAAGAATTTAATACATGTCAATTAACTGTCAAATTTTGTCTGAGATTATTTTCAATCTGAAAATTCTCTGATTCTTTCTCCTATCTTTTCTTCAACCACTCTCATTTAGCCAAGCAGAAGAACAGGAAAAGAAAAAGAGGGAAAGTACGTCAAGAAATAAAAGACAATCTGCTTCCTTTGAGGTGAGCTACCCTTTCGAATAAGTCAGAGGCATATGAACCTGGGGATGAGCAGGTGGCATTCGGGAACACATGAATTCCCTGAAACCTTTGTACAGCTGTTCTTTTGGTGTGTTTGCATCTGTGCATGTGCAGATGTGATTTTCTTGCTTGAGGATCTATTGACACTTAAAAATATCCATGCCTTCAAAGTTGAGAAGTATCCTAAAATAGGCCAAGAGTTGACCTCCAGTTTAAAAAATAAAAGGCTAAATTTCACTCATTCTTGCAATCAGATCTAAACTTTGTTTAACACCTCCAACTTTCCTCCTTGATTTCTTTAGAAGTTATGTAGTGAATACCGCAAATCCTGGAAGAATGGACAACTTATTTGCACCAGAGAGAATGACCCCATTCGGGGCCCAGATGGGAAAATGCATGGCAACACCTGCTCCATGTGTCAGGCCTTCTTGTGAGTAGAGTCACAGCCTAGTTGCCCTCTCTGCTTCCTTTTATGTTCAATTTGGAGAGGAACTACTTCTGTAGGGAACTATAAGAATTAAAACATATTTGAAGAAACTGCCTCATTGGAGAAACATATAAAAACCATGTCCTTACACTTAGACCAGGGAAGAGTCACAGTTTTGAAAGATCCAAGAAGTGAAACAGGACTTTTCTAGGTTGCCTCCACGGATGCAATTGAGGCCAGTGAGCCAGTGGGTGAAAGCTCTGGAAGACAGGGTCCAGCTCAATGCCAGGAAGAACTTCCCAACAGTTTGATGATTCCAAAAATGGAATGACTTACCATTGAGTGTCAAGGATGATATAGGTAAAGGCATTAAATGACAGATTAAAGCAAAGTCTGGACCGTCGTCATAGATATAGTACTGAGCACTGGAAGTTTAGAAAACCCTCTCTGAACCAGGGTCTAAATTCTTCACTTGCACTTACAATTCTGTTCTTGGACAAATTAGGCACTCTGTCTGTTTTCTTATTAGAAAAAAATGGGTTAAAGTAATAGTTTTACTACCTAAAGTCATGCCTATTTCATAGTATGAGCACAGACTTAGGCACACAGTAAGAATTTAATACATGTTAATTAACTGTCAAATTTTGTCTGAGATTATTTTCAATCTGAAAATTCTCTGATTCTTTCTCCTATCTTTTCTTCAACCATTCTCATTTAGCCAAGCAGAAGAAGAGGAAAAGAAAAAGAGGGAAAGTACGTTAAGAAATAAAAGACAAACTGCTTCCTTTGAGGTGAGCTACCCTTTCCAATAAGTCAGAGGCATATGGACCTGGGGATGCACACGTGGCATTAGAGAACACATGAATTGCCTGAAACCCCATGAAACCTTTGTACAGCTGTTGTTTTCGTGTATTTGTATCTGTGCATGTACAGATGTGATTTTCTTGCTTGAGGATCCATTGATAGTATCGCTTAAAAATATCCATGCCTTCAAATTGAGAAATATTCTAAAATAGGCCAACAGTTGACCTCCAGTTTAAAAAAATAAAAGGCTAAATTTCACTCAATCTTGAAATCAGATCTAAATTTTGTTTAACACCTCCAACTTTCCTCCTTGATTTCTTTAGAAGTTATGTAGTGAGTACCGCAAATCCTGGAAGAATGGACAACTTATTTGCACCAGAGAGAATGACCCCATTCGGGGCCCAGATGGGAAAATGCATGGCAACACCTGCTCCATGTGTCAGGCCTTCTTGTGAGTAGAGCATTGCCAGGGAGCTTGGGAAATGCTTTGGGAAAACTGTTTTAATGGAAATAATGCACTTTCTTCTTCAATGTAGAATTCGGTTTGAATGTCATATTTAAAAGTACCAAAAAATCGTAACAGCAAATGGAGAACTTTCAGACTATAAGTGTATAAGAGATACAGCATAAGCAAGATGTAAAAGTGAACTAGTGTGTGATCTTATTTATATAAGACATCTCAAATATCAAACTTACAGAAGTAGACAAGACTGGGGTGGGGAAGAATGGGTGTTGGGAATGAGGAAATCTCAACTAAAAGGTCTGATTTCAATTAAGAGGCATACTTTTTGAGAACTTTTGCACAATATGGAGAGTGTAGTTAATATGTATTTCAAAAGAGCTAAAAGAGTACATTTTAAATATTCTAATCACAGAGAAATAAATATATGAGGTGATTATGTTTCTTAGACTGATTTAATCATTCCACATGTATATCTATATAAAAATATCACATTATCTTCATAAATAGAAGTTACTTGTCAATTAAAATAATTTTTCAAAAAAGAGATGCAGAATGGTATTTTATAAGGCATTTCAGAAGTAATCTATAGTTTCCTATCCAGATTAGAGAGTATCTATGACAATCATACTAATTATTTTCAGCTCTCTGAAATATTATTAGTCAAACTAAGAAAATACATGATATTACAGGTAAAGTATCATTGTAATATATAGAAATTTTATGAGATTTTTTTCTTTTGCTCACTATTTTTCTTCCTACTCATTCTGTGTGAATTTAGGGAATAGAACTAAAATGGATAAGAGGTATAGAGAGGAAGATTTGAGTTTAACATGAATAATAACATAAAGATAATGACTTAAGGATTATTATTTCCATGTGTAGAAGTCAGTTACCTATTTTAGGGAACCTGAAGTTTGACTGTGAAATAAGTGAAATGATATGAACCCTTAAGCAAGAATCTATAATTTCCGAAACTCATTTTTTGACAAAAAGTGTTTAACAATTTAATTTCTCGGCAGATATTTGGTTATTCAGTCTTCTCTGTTGGGGCCAGTATAATTCATCAGATTTCTCCCATAATGTTAGGGCCACTGAACTCTAAAAATCTTTTCGATTTGAAAAGTCAATACGATGATGACTTAGGTATCATAATAAGAATTTATTGAATAGATGAAATTGGCTGGTATGTGATAATATTTGCCACATAATCTCATAATATCTTCATCATAATCATATGAAATAGGTTCTATATTGTCACAAGTTACAGATGAAAAGACGAAAGCCCAGTGAAGTTGAGAATGGCAGAAAATCAGCTGAGGTTATGTTCCATGTTGGTAAAGAAAATTATAGCATGCTTCTCACTGTAGTGTAGACAGGACATAATCTCTTATCAAGGCTTTACCAACTACTGGTGATATATTTGCCTATTCATAGGCTTATTTCAATCTATTTTTCTTTTCCTCTACAATCACTTTTCAAAGACAAGGAAATAATTCTGCCACCTAGTGGTCAGTTCAGTGGCCTTTTCTGATCATTCCTCATTAAAATATTTAGTCAACTTAGATATGTTTAGATCAGTTTTCACATAAAGAAGTATGAAAATCTCACATTTTAAACCTATTTTAATAAATACAGTAAATACAAAAATTCTCCGATAAATACAAAAATCTCTATTCAAAAACACTTTTATCACCCATATTTTGTCAATATGCTAACAAAGGTTACTGAGTTTCTTGATCTTTTTTCCTCCATTGTCATTTTTTGCACTTTTTCATACCATGTGAAAATAATCTTTTCATCTTTTAAAAATGTTTTAATTTGATGGATGGTCAAATCTTGTATTGATCAGAATACATTAAAACATTTTAACAAATTATGCATTTTTTTTCTCTATACAGCAGGATTTGTTTGTGTCATATACCAGCTATGCTATAGGTCCAACCACTAAATTCAGTTTGCAACACTAGTAATTGTCTAACATAGAAAGATGTATTGTTCTCACTTAATTTTATCATATGCTTATTTTTGGAATGTTTACTTACAATGATGACATTGCTGATGATATCAGTCCCTTATATCATTTATGCTAATCACTGCATAAATCACTGCATATGATGTAAGAGTTACTATTCTAGTGACTTTATATGTACCAACTCATTTAATACTCCAAACATTCCTATGAGAAAGGTATTCTTATTTCCTGTCCTATACATCTATTGCCTCTTCATTTAAAAACAAAGAAGGCATAGGGAGACTAAGGTGCATCTCATTCTCCTTGGATGATCTCATTCCAGAGTATTTCCCCTTTAGCCACTCTGCTGTACTGCCCCCCAAACCAAATATTACTGCTTTATAAAAGTGACCACAGAAGCAAATCAGAGAGTATTATTGCAGTACACATGCTGGGAAGTTAAATGGATTACTCATTGATAAAGGGACTTCCTCTTGCACACTATTGTCTTGAGGTGTGGTGAACATTTCTAGTTCATTATAAATAAAAGGACAAAGTACTATGGGTGGATCTTGAGAATAGACAAAGCAATGGATTATCAATCTATGAATCAGTCTATGAATGTGAAAGGTCTGCTCTCCTGGAATAAGATCCATTTCTTCTCTCTCTCTTTTTTTCCCATCCCTTGTAGTAAACAAGAAGAAAAAGGAAAAGCAAAAGATAAGAGGGAAGCTGCAAAGGTAATTTTCTCAGAAATGCTGATTCTGTGCCTTGGCAATTTTTCTTTACAGTAACATTCTAGTTATCTCATTATCATAAATTGTTTCTGTTTGTTTCATGTCTAAAATAAACTAAGAAAACTCTTATCCTTTAAAAAAAGAAAGAGAAGTCTTTATGAAATTTTTCTAATACCAATTTTCCTTCATAATTATTCAAATTTTGAGGTTCATTTTTATAAAAAAATGAGTATTCAAAGGTTAGAGGGAGACCTAAACCCCAAACTGATAACAATGTCCTAAGTAAGAATGGTGAAGTGACCTTAAAACCATTCACAGACATTCACTCCTACAGCAGCAACAGAGAGAATAACACAGAGACTGTAGACAGCACACCTATCAGGGACCTCAATATAGATCATGTCCATACCTTCACAGAATTGTGAAGCCTAGAAGAGCAATAACAGAGAATGTACTCCATATACACTGCTGCATACAACATATCTGACCCACTGGACGGACCCCACTATTGTGAGATCTACAGGGAAAGTGGGATCCTCAAGCACTAACACAATAAAGTGTCAAGATACACTATCACCACAGAAACAATAAGGAATCTATGCTACAAAACCCCCTTGGAAATATATTCATAATAACATGATGCTCTGGAACATTTCATCAAGAGAGAGTTATGCCCTAAAGGGGCCTTCACATAATAGTTGAAGAGAAATCCATCCCAACAGATGCGCAAATACCAACTTAGGAATATAAGAATTATGGAAATGAAACAAAACAAGAGAATGTGTCACCATAAGGCTCACAATTCACCAGTAACTTATTCCAAAGATTGAGTGGATGAAACAGAAGATAAAGAATTTAAAGAATGATTATAAAAGTGACCAATGAAACAGAGAACACAGAAAATTGTGTGAAAAAAAATAAGGAAACAAATATAGGATATAAATGAGAAATTCAGTTAAGAAATAGAAATATTGACAAAGACCCGAACAGATATCTTAGAAATGAAAGGCACAATCAATGAAATAAAAAATTCAGTTGAAAGTCTCTTCAACAGATTAGACCAGGTAGAAGACAGAATCTCAGTTTGAAGACAAGTTGGCTGACTTTGAATATACACATAAAATTACAACAACAGGATGGTGGGAAGATGGCAGAATAGATGAAGTCCTGTTTCTGGCTGTTCTGTGGCATGAAATGAAGAAAGCAGACAGGCAGCTTCTCCACAAGGTCTCTCCTAGACGGAATACAACATCTCCGAGAGTATGAGAAGACCCCTATACAGTGGATTGTCACAGAAATCACCAGTGCTGGGACCACCAGTGCAGAAATCAGAGCCTCTGCGCTCAAGTAAGTCTCTGGACTCTGGACCCAAAGCCTGCAGTTCTAGCAGCACGACTCACCAGCAGCTTAGCAGAACCAACTATCACCACCTCTGCAGAACTCCAGACTGCACTCTGCTCCCATGCAGGTCACTCTGCTGCTACCTATCCACAGCACAAGGCCATCGCCCAGCTCCCCCCACATCACCAGACACCCTTGCACTGGAAGCAGTCCAACTCCATGTTGGAAAACCTTCCTCAGGATTTTGTAATGGGTGTGGGTATCAGATTGGTTCGCCATTTGAGCAGGTACCTGATTTCCAATCCACCCCCCTCCCCAGTGCTGATAACTCAGCACAGTGGCCACCTAATACAAACACAGCTCTCAGTTGGACAGGAGTGCAGTGTGACCAGGGCGCCGCCCACCTGGTGTGAGCTTGGGGGTGAGAGGTCCTATCTATTCTCCTGCTACTAACCCTCTTCACTAGATTTCTCCTTCACATTTCCTAAGATATATTAACTGTCTACCCTCACATCTTTTCCCCTCAGCATATCGTCCTATGCCTGACCCTCAGTTCATTTTCCACTAGCAGAAACTGTAAACCATTTTATGAAACTACTGATGATATTTTAAATAATAATTGAATCCAACATTTCTGGACATTGAGACTAAACTGTAAATGTCTTAATAACAACAATTTGTTCATAGGTGATGTTGTTGATATTGGAATCAGTTAACATTGTTCTTCCCCACAAAGGAGAGATCTTGGAATCCTACAAGAGCACTACAAATCTCCCACAATAAACAAAAGTTAAAACAATAACACACCAGATCCACAGAGCTGCAAAGAAAGACACATGAGCAACATAAAAAGGGAAGAAAGTACCACAAACAAATCAAAACAACATATCATTAGAAGCATTGGCAACTACAGCATAAAAATTGACAGAGAAAGATTTCAGGATATACATGGTTAAAATGTTTTGGGATTTCAAAGAAGACATAAGAAAACAAATACAGGCAGTGAAAGCTACATAAACAATTGAAAGAAGCAAAAGATCACCTCAAAAGGGAGAGGTTAAAAAAAACAGAAATACTTGAAATGAAAGAAATAATAAACCAAATAAAAACCTCAAATTAAAGCATTATCAACAGAGTAGACCACTTAGAAGACCATATACTATGTCACAAAGCAACTCTTAGCAAATACACAAAAGTAGAAATACTACCATGCATTTTATCAGATCATAATGGAATGAAATTGGAAATCAACGACAAAATAAAAAATAAAAATTTCTCCATTACCTTGAGACTAAACAATATGCTACTGAATCAACAATGGATCACAGAAGACATCAAGGAGGAGATTTAAAAATTCTTAGAGGTAAATGAGAACATAGACACAACATATCGAAATCTCTGGGACACAATGAAAGCAGTGCTAAGAGGAAAATTCATTGCATGGAGTTTATTCCTTAAAAGAAGAAAAAGTCAACAAATAAATGACCTTACACTACATCTCAAAGCCCTAGAAAAAGAAGAAAAAATAGCAAAAGCAGTAGAAAGCAAGAAATAATTAAAATTAGAGCCAAAATCAATAAAAATGAAACAATAAATAATTGAAAAAATTGATAAAACAATTTATTTATTGAAAAAATAAATAAAATTGACAGACCCTTAGCCATGCAAATGAAGAGAAGGATCGAGAGAACTCAAATTACCAGCATATGTGATGAAAAAGGTAATATCACAACAGACACTACAGAAATACAGAGGATAATTAGAAATTATTTTGAAATCTTATTCTCCAATAAAATAGAAGGTATTGAAGGCATTGACAAAATTCTTAAATCATACGATTTGCTCAGATTGAGTCAGGAAGATATACACAATTTAAACAGACCAATTTCAAGTGAGGAAATAGAAGAAGCCATCAGAAGCTTACCAACCAAGAAAAGCCCGGGACTGGATGGATACACAGCTGAGTTCTACAAGACCTTTAAAGAAGAACCAATACTTTTCAATTTATTTCAGGAAATAGAAAAAGAGGCAGTAATTCCAAACTCATTCTATGAGGTCAATATCACCCCATCCCAAAACCAGGCAAAGACACATCAAAGAAAGAAAACTTCAGACCAATATCTCTAATTAACATAGATGCAAATTTCTCAATAAAATTCTGGCAAATCGAATTAAAAAGCATATCAAAGGATTGTGCATTATAATCAAGTGGGATTCATCCCAGGGATGCAAGGTTGGTTCAACATACGGAAATCAATAAATGTATTTCATCATGTCAATAGACTTAAAGATAAGAATCATATGATCATCTCAATAGATGCAGAAAAAGCATTTGACAAAATAAAGCACGGCTTTATGTTCAAAACACTAGAAAAACTAGGAATAACAGAAACATATCTCAACATTGTAAAGGCTATCTACGCTAAGCCTCAGGCCAGCATCCTTCTAAACAGAGAAAAATTGAAAGCGTTCCCTCTAAAAACTTGAACAAGACAGGGATGCCCTCTTTCACCACTTCTATTCAACATAGTTCTTGAAACACTGGCCAGAGCAATTAGACAGACTAAAGAAATAAAAGGGATATGTATAGGAAAAGAAGAACTTAAATTAGTACTATTTGCTGATGATATGATTCTATACCTAGAAGACCCAAAAAAATTTTCACCAGAAAACTTCTAGAACTAATAAATGAATTCAGCAAAGTAGCAGGATATAAAATCAACACCCATAAATCAAAGGCATTTCTGTATATCAGTGACAAATCCTCTGAGAAGGAAATGAGGACAACTGCCCCATTCACAATAAGATTTAAAAAAAAAGATACTTAGGAATAAACTTAACGAAAGAAGAGAAAGATCTATACAATGAAAACTACAGAATCCTAAAGAGAGAAATCAAAGAAGACTTTAGAAGATGGAAAGATCTACCTTACTCTTGGATAGGCAGAATTGATATTATCAAAATAACCATAGGACCAAAAGCACTATACAGATTTAATGCAATTCTGATCAAAATACCAATGACATTCCTCATAGAAATAGAAAAGGCAATCTTTGAATTCATCTGGAAAAATAAGAGACCCAGAATAGCTAAAGCAATCCTTTTTAGGAAGAACGAAGCAGGTGGCATCACTACACCAGAACTTAAACTATACTCACAGCAATAGTAACAAAAATAGCCATGATACTGGCACCAAAATAGGTTGGTAGACCAATGGTATAGAATAGAGGACACAGAGACTAACCCACAAAATTACAACAATCTTATATTACACAAAGGTGCCAAAAGCATGCACTGAAGAAAAGATAGCATCTTCGACAAATGGTGCTAGGAAAACTAGAAATCCATATGAAACAAAATGAAATTAAACCCATATCTCTCACTATGCACAAAACTGAACTCAAAATGGATCAAGGACCTAGAAATTAAACCAGAGACTCTGCTTCTAATAGAAGAAAAAGTGGGCCCTAATCTTCATCATGTGGGATTAGGCCACAACTTTGTTAATAAGACTCTTATAGCACAAGAATTTAAACCAAGAATCAATAAATAGGATAGAATCAAACTAAAAAGTTTCTTCTCAGCAAAAGAAACAATCTGTGAGGTGAATAGAGTGCCTACATCCTGGGAGCAAATTTTTACCCCTCACACATCAGATAGAGCACTAATCTCTAGGGTATATAAAGAACTCAAAAAGTTAAGTACTGAAAAAATAAGTAACCCAATCAACAAATGGGCCAAGGACCAGAACAGACACTTCTCAGAAGTGGATATACAATCAATCAACAAATATATGAAAAAATGTTCATCATGTCTAAGAATCAGAGAAATGCAAATCAAAACTAGTCTAAGATATCTCACTCCAGTCAGAATGGCAGCTATTATGAAGACAAACAACAATAAGTGTTGGCAAGGATATGGGGAAAAAGGCACACTCATACATTTCTGGTGGGACTGCAAATTGTGCAGCCAATATAGAAAGCAGTATGAAGATTCCTTGGAAATCTGGGAATGGAACCACCATTTGACCCCAGCTATTCCTCTCCTCAGACTATATCCAAAGGACTTAAAAACAGCATACTATAGGGACATAGCCACATCAATGTTTATAGCAGCACGATTCACAATAGCTAAACTGTGGAGCCAACCTATATGCCCTTCAGTGGATGAATGGATAAAAAAAAAATGTGGCATATATACACAATGGAATTTTACTCAGCAATAAAAGACAGTAAAATCATGGCATTTTCAGGTAAATGGATTGTATTGGAGAAGATAATGCTAAGTGAAGTTAGCCAAGCCCCCCAAAACAAATGCCGAATGTTTTCTCTGATATAAGGAGGCTAACTCATAGTGGGGGAGTAAGGGGGAGCATGGGAGGAATAGATGGATTTTAGATAGGGAAGAGGGGTGGGAGGGAAAAGGAGGAGGCAAGGGATTAGCAAGGGTGATGGAATGTGATGGACAGCATTATCCAAACTACATGTATGAAGACATGAATTGGGTGTCAACTTACAAACCGAGATATGAAAATTGTGGTATATATGTGTAATAAGAATTATAGTGCAAAAAAGTACATGTATAAAGACATGAATTGCAGTGAACATACTTGATATACAAAGATATGAAAAGTTGTGCTCTATATGTGTAATAAGAATTGTGATGCATTCCACTGTCGTGTATTTAAAAAAAATCAATTAAGTAAGAAAAATTAAAACAATAGATAAGAAGCTATGATTAGGTACATAACTCTGGGACAATATTAAGAAACCAAACGTAAGAATAATTGGCATTCAAGAAGGAGTGGAAATTCATACTAATGGCATTAATTACCTTTCCAGTGAAATAATAGCAGAAAACTTTTCTGAATCTTGGGAATGAGACGGACATCTATATACGGGAAGCACTTAGAACCCAAAATAAACAAGCTTACTGGTTTCATACAGTAACCTTATATGCAATTTGCCTTTAATTGTATTTTTAAAGAACAACTACAAAAGTCTGAACCTAACCATTAGTTAGGAAAAGTTGATACCAACTCTTTTTTAATAACTATGTTTTTGTTAGCTACAAGTGTTTCTTATCAGGAATTTAAAACTAAAAATCTGTTTCGTCTATTATATCTGATCATTTTCCAAGGCCTCTTTGATATTCCCAATGTTCCTCACCCTTTTTCTCCTTCTCTCCTCTCCTATTGTACTCTCCTGATTTAAATCCTCATTCCCCATCCCTGGACAGGGATTCACTCTAGGAAAGATGTCGCTTTCTCCAGGGATCATACTTTTTCTGCTCACATCTATAAAGATGAGCATGCTTGTTTTTCCTCTTCTTGGCTTGCTAAAGACAAACCTTGACTCAGCAATTCTCTCTCGCCTCTAGGAAGGCTTCCCTGTAGGCCTATTGACTCTCCTCACCATGGTTTTTTATAACTCTTACAGATAGATTGAAATATACGTCATGACACAAACATGCATGTTTTCTGTTGAACTCTGCCCAACTCATCAGCCTGATTCTGCACCATAATTACAGGCATCCTCAGGAGGATGATGGTTATGGTTACAGATCTGATGTAACACCAGGGCAATTTTGAGTGTATGACTGGATCTTTGTACTTCTTTACTGATTTATTGCTATATGTCATAACTTTTCCTGACTTTGTCTATACTGCCATGCATGACTTGTTCCTCATAGGTGGAAAGGATAGAAAACTGACCTGAGAAAATATTTTCCTCATTTTCCAGGAAATCTGCAGGGAATTCCAGAACTACGTGAGAAATGGATCACTCGTATGCACCAGGGAGCATAACCCCGTTTTTGGCCCAGATGGCCAAATTCACGGAAACAAGTGTTCCATGTGTTCTAGTGTGTTGTAGGTATCCACCCCAGCTCTCCCTCTGACTCTCTTCATCACTGTTCACTTTGAGCCTCAGATTCCTCCTACATCTGTAGTATATCTACCATGGACTGTCAACTAGATATCTTACAAACACATGGAAAAGACATTAAGTACCACTGAAGTACACAGTGACAGTGTTATTCTCAATCCAGTCTTCCTTCTATCTTCTAATTAAGTCAAAGGAAAAGACTCCCTTCAGTGTTGATATGTTTTTAACACTTGACACTCTTTATTTATGACAAAAAGTGGGCAGAAGTTTCATGGTCTGAATTGCATGCTCTCTTTGGTCTCTCTTCCTCCTCTGGTGTATTACCACTCTGTGAGTATATTCAGATGTGGGTTAAGGTAATCCAGTTGAATAGACATGTGTGGGGCTGAGACATAAAGACTGTTATAATAACCTGAAGAAGACAGAGAAGTGGAATAGAGAGGACACATCTAGCCTTTCAGGGAAAGTGCTAGACACAGGTGAAATTCACACTTTGAAAAGTGTATTAGTGTGGCAGGAAACCCCTAAGAGTCAGGTTCATGTGCCAGATTTGTACTGAAATATTAAGTCAGGTCAGAGCTTGCTAGGCCTTTCTGTTGCTTCGTGCTATGGATAAACTTGAAGGGTGGAGCTCCACTGTGTGGGGCATTAGAGAAGCTGAGTTTTATCAATTCTAATTCCTTCCTTGTTAGACTGCCAATTCCCTCTTGAACATCACTCTAAAATAAATGTGGAGAAAAATATTTAAATGTATGTTTAAAGAAACAACAACAAAATAGTCTCCAATTACAGAGGTCTTACCTTAAGTGTATGCAGGTAATTTCTTAAAAGGACAGATTGACAGCGTGAAGCATTAGATTAAATAGTGACTGGGAGGAAGATAAATCAGGATTTTTTCCTCTCATCTATTCCATTTGGTTATGCTGTGGTAATAACCAGAGGTGGTAAATACTTTCAATGTCTAGCATGACATGCTACATGAAGTCATGCCTATTTCATAGTTTGAACACCGGCTTAGGCACACAGTAAGAATTTAATCCATGTTAATTAACTTCAAATTTTGTCTGAGATTACTTCCAATCTGAAAATTCTCTGATTCTTTCTCATATCTTTTCTTCAACCACTCTCATTTAGCCAAGCAGAAGAAGAGGAAAAGAAAAAGAAGGAAATTATTTCAAGAAATAAGAGACAATCTGCTTCCTTTGAGGTGAGCTACCCTTTCTAATAAGTCAGAGGCATATGGACCTGGGGATGTACATGTCACATTCAGGGAACACGTGAATTCCCTGAAACTCTATGAAACCTTTGTACAGCTGTTGTTTTGATTTGTTTGCATCTGTGCATGTACAGATGTGATTTTCTTACTTGAGGATCCATTGACACTTAAAAATATCCATGCCTTCAAAGTTGAGAAGTATCCTAAAATAGGCCAATAGTTGACCTCCAGTTTAAAAAATAAAAGGCTAAATTTCACTCATTCTTGCAAATCAGATCTAAACTTTGTTTAACACCTCCAACTTTCCTCCTTGATTTCTTTAGAAGTTATGTAGTGAATACCGCAAACCCTGGAAGAATGGACAACTTATTTGCACCAGAGAGAATGACCCCATTCGGGGCCCAGATGGGAAAATGCATGGCAACACCTGCTCCATGTGTCAGGCCTTCTTGTGAGTAGAGCATTGCCAGGGAGCTTGGGAAATGCTTTGGAAAAACTGTTTTAATGGAAATAATGCACTTTCTTCTTCAATGTAGAATTCGGTTTGAATGTCATATTTAAAAGTACCAAAAAATCGTAACAGCAAATGGAGAACTTTCAGACTATAAGTGCATAAGAGATACAGCATAAGCAAGATGTAAAAGTGAACTAGTGTGTGATCTGATATATATATATAACATCTCAAATACCTAACATATAGAAATAGACAGAGACCAGAATTGGGAAGGGATGGGTGTTGGAAATGAGGAAATCTCAACTAGAGGATCTGATTTCAATTATGAGACATACTTTTTGAGATCTTTTGCACAATATGGAGACTGTAGTTAATAATATATCATGTATTTCAGAAAAGCTAAAAGAGTACATTCTAAATATTGTAATCACAGAGAGATAAATAAATCATTCCACATGTATATCTGTATAAAAATTTTTATCACATTATCATCATGAATAGAAGTTATTTGTCAAAACAATTTTTCACAAAAGAGATGTAGAGTGGTATAAGGCATTTCAGAAGTAATTTATAATTTTCCATCCAGATTGGAGATTAGTCTATGATAATCATACTAATTATTTTCAGCTCTATGAAATATTATTAGTCAAACTAAGAAAATTAGTACTATATGGAAATTTTATGAGATTTTTTTTTCTTTTGCTCACTATTTTTCTTCCCACCAATTCTGTGTGAATTTAGGGAATAGAAATAAAATGGATAAGAAGTATATAGGGAGGAAGATTTGGTTTTAACACGAATAATAACATAAAGATAATGACTTAAGGATAATGATTTCCATGTGTAGAAGTTGGTTACCTATTTTAGGGAACCTGAAGTTTGTGAAATAAGTAAAATGGTATGGACCCTTAAACAAGAATCTACAATTTCCCCTAACTCATGTTTTGACTAAAAGTATTTCCCAATTTACTTTCTCAACATTAAAGTCTCTGAGGATAATGTGATATTTTTATACAGATATACATGTGGAATGATTTAATCAGCCTAAGAAACATAATCACCTTATATATTTATCTCTCTGTGATTAGAATATTTAAAATATACTCTTTTAGCTCTTTTGAAATACACGATATATTGTTAACTACAGTCTACATATTGTGCAAAAGATCTCAAAAAGTCTTCTCTGTTGGATGAGGGGCAGGGGCAGTCTAATTCATCAGATTTCTCCCATAATGTTAGAGCCATTGAACTCCAAAAATCTTTTCTATTTGGAAAGTCAATATGATGATGATTTAGGTATCATAATAAGCATTTATTGAATATATGTAATTGTCTGGTATATGATAAAATTTGCTACATTATCTCATTTAATCTTCATCATAATCATATGAAATAGGTTCTATATTATCACAAGTTACAAATGAAAAGACGAAGGCCCAATGAAATTAAGAGTGGCAGAAAATCAGCTGAGTTTATGTTTTATGTTGGTAAAAAAAAATATAACATGCTTCTCACTGTAGTGTACACAGGATATAATCTCTTATCAAGGCTTTACCAACTACCGGTGATATATTTGCCTATAGATAGGCTTCTTTCAATCTGTTTTTCTTTTTCTCTACATTTCATTTTCTCTACAGAAATAATTCTGCCACCTAGTGGGTAGTTCTGCTGCTTTTTCTGATCATTCCTCATTAAAATATTTAGTCAACTTGGATTTCTTTAGATCAGTTTTCACATAAAGAAGTATGAAAAACACATTTTAAACCTATTTTAATAAATACAATAAATACAAAAATTCTCCAATAAATACAAACTCTCTATTCAAAAACACTTTTATTACCCATATATGCTAACAAAGGTTACTGAGTTTCTTGATGATCTTTTTTCCTCCATTGTCATTTTTTGCACTTTTTCATACCATGTGAAAATAATCTTTTCATCTTTTAAAAATGTTTTAATTTGATGGATGGTCAAATCTTGTATTGATTAGAATGCATTAAAACATTTTAACAAATTATGCAATATTTTTTTTCTCTATACAACAGGATTTGTTTGTGTCATATACCAGCTATGCTGTAGGTCCAACCACTAAATTCAGTTTGCAACACTAGTAATTATCTAACATAGAAAGATCTATTGCTCTCACTTAATTTTGTCATATGCCTATTTTTGGAATGTTTACTTACAATGATGATAATGCTGATGATATCAGTTCCTTATATAATTTATGCTAATCAATTGATGATGTAAGAGGTACTGTTCTAGTGACCTTAAATATACCAACTCATTTAATACTCCATACATTATTAAGAGAAAGGTATTCTTACTACCTGTCCTATACCTCTATTGCTCTTCATTTAAAAGCAAGGAAGGCAGAGGGAGACTAAGGTGTGTCTCATTTTCCTAGGATGATCTCAGTCCAGAGTATTTCCCCCTAATCACTCTGCTGTATTGCTGCCCAAACCAAATATTACCGCTTTATATAAGTGACCACAGAAGCAAATCAGAGAATATTACTGCAGTGCACATGCTGGGAAGTTAAATGGATTACTCATTGATAAAGGGACTTCCTCTTGAACACTATTGTCTTCAGGTGTAGTGAACCTTTATAGTTGATTATAAATACAATGACAAAGTACTATGGGTGGATCTTGAGAATAATCAAAGCAGTGACTGATCAATCTATAAATGTGAAAGATCTGCTCTCCTGGAATAAGATCCATTTTTTCTCTCTCTCTATTTCCCTGTCCCTTGTAGTAAACAAGAAGAAAAATCAACAGCAAAAGAAAAAAGGGAAGCTGCAAAGGTAATTTTCTCAGAAATTCTGACTTTGTTTCTTGGCAATTTTTCTATATAATAGAATTCTAGTTATCTCATTAGCATAAATTTTTTGTTTGTTTCATGTCTGAAATAAACTAAGAAAACTCTTATCCTTTAAAAAAAGAAAGGGAAGTCTTTATGAAATTTTTCTAATACCAATTTTGCTTTATGATTATTCAAATTTTGAGGTTCATTTTTATAAAAAATATTGAATATTCAAAGGATAGGAAGAGACCTATACCCCAAACTGATAACTATGTCCCAACTAAGAATGGTGAGGTGGCCTTAGAACCACTCACAGACATTCACTCCTACAGCAGCAGTAACACAGAGACTGTAGACACAACACCTATAAGGAACCTCAATATAGATCATGTCTGTACCCTGTTACAACAGAATTGTGAAGCCTAGAAGAGCAATAACAGAGAATGTACTCCATATACACTGCTGCATACAACATCTGACCCACTAGATGGACCCCACTATTGTGAGATCTACAGAGAAAGTGGAATCCTCAAGCACTAACACAACAAGTGTCAAGATACACTATCTAACACCATAGAAACCATATGAATCTACAAAACCCCCTTGGAAGAATATTCACAATAACCTGATGCTCTGGAACATTTCATCAAGAGAGAGCTATGCCCTAAAGGGGTCTTCACATAATAGTAGAAGACAAATCCATCCCAACAGATGAACAAATACCAATATAGGAATACAAGAATTATGAAAATAAAAAAGAGAATGTGTCACCATAAGGCTCATAATTTACTAGCAACTTATTCCAAAGATTGAGTGGATGAAACAGAAGATAAAGAATTTAAAGAATGATTATAAAAGTGGCCGATGAACCAGAGAACACAGAAAATTATGTGAAAGAAATAAGGAAACAAGTATAGGATATGAATGAGAAATTCAATTAAGAAATAGAAATATTGACGAAGACCCGAACAGATATCTTAGAAATGAAAGGCACAATCAACGAAATAAAAAATTCAGTTGAAAGTCTCTTCAACAGATTAGATCAGGTAGAAGACAAAATTTCATTTTGAGGACAAGTTGGCTGACTTTGAATATACAGATAAAATTAAAACAACAGATAAGAAACTATGATTAGGTACATAAATCTGGGACAATATTAAGAAACCAAACTTAAGAATAATTGGCATTCAAGAAGGAGTGGAAATTCAGACTAACGGCATTAATAACCTTTCCAGTGAAATCATGGCAGAAAACTTTTCTGAATCTTGGGAATGAGACGGACATCTATATACGGGAAGCACTTAGAACCCACAATAAACAAGCTTGCTGGTTTCACACAGTAGCCTTATACACAATTTGCATTTAATTTTATTTTTGAACAATAACTACAAAAGTCTGAACCTAACCATTAGTTGGAAAAGGTTGATACCAACTCTTTTTTAACAAATGTTTTTATTAGCTGCAAGTGTTTCTTATCAGTAATTTAAAACTGAAAATCCATTTCATCTATTATATTTGATCATATTCCAAGGCCTCTTTGATATTCCCAATGTTCCTCACCCTTTTTCTCCTTCTCTCCTCTCCTATTGTACTCTCCTGATTTAAATCCTCATTCCCCATCCCTGGACAGGGATTCACTCTAGGAAAGATGTCACTTTCTCCAGGGATCATACTTTTTCTGCTCACATCTATAAAGATGAGCATGCTTGTTTTTCCTCTTCTTGGCTTGCTAAAGACAAACCTTGACTCAGCAATTCTCTCTCGCCTCTAGGAAGGCTTCCCTGTAGGCCTATTGACTCTCCTCACCATGGTTTTTTATAACTCTTACAGATAGATTGAAATATACGTCATGACACAAACATGCATGTTTTCTGTTGAACTCTGCCCAACTCATCAGCCTGATTCTGCACCATAATTACAGGCATCCTCAGGAGGATGATGGTTATGGTTACAGATCTGATGTAACACCAGGGCAATTTTGAGTGTATGACTGGATCTTTGTACTTCTTTACTGATTTATTGCTATATGTCATAACTTTTCCTGACTTTGTCTATACTGCCATGCATGACTTGTTCCTCATAGGTGGAAAGGATAGAAAACTGACCTGAGAAAATATTTTCCTCATTTTCCAGGAAATCTGCAGGGAATTCCAGAACTACGTGAGAAATGGATCACTCGTATGCACCAGGGAGCATAACCCCGTTTTTGGCCCAGATGGCCAAATTCACGGAAACAAGTGTTCCATGTGTTCTAGTGTGTTGTAGGTATCCACCCCAGCTCTCCCTCTGACTCTCTTCATCATTGTTCACCTTGAACCTCAGATTCCTCCTACATCTGTAGTATATCTACCATGGATTGTCAACTAGAAAATCTTACAAACACATGGAAAAGACATTAAGTACCACTGAAGTACACAGTGACAGTGTTATTCTCAATCCAGTCTTCCTTCTATCTTCTAATTAAGTCAAAGGAAAAGACTCCCTTCAGTGTTGATATGTTTTTAACACTTGACACTCTTTATTTATGACAAAAAGTGGGCAGAAGTTTCATGGTCTGGATTGCATTCTCTCTTTGGTCTCTCTACCTCCTCTGGTATATTACCACTCTGTGAGTATATTCAGATGTGGGTTAAGGTAATCCAGTTGAATAGATGTGTGTGGGGCTGAGACATAAAGATTGTTATAATAACCTGAAGAAGAAAGAGAAGTAGAATAGAGAGGATTGTGTCTACCCTTTCAGGGAAAGTGCTAGACACAGGTGAAATGCACACTTTGAAAGTGTATTAGTGTGGCGGGAAACCCCTGAGAGTCAGGTTCATGTGCCAGATTTGTACTGAAATGTTAAGTCAGGTCAGAGCTTGCTAGGCCTTTCTGTTGCTTCGTGCTATGGATAAACCTGAAGGGTGGAGCTCCACTGTGTGGGGCATTAGAGAAGCTGAGTTTTATCAATTCTAATTCCTTCCTTGTTAGACTGCCAATTCCCTCTTGAACATCACTCTAAAATAAATGTGGAGAAAAATATTTAAATGTCTGTTTAAAGATACAACAACAACAACAAAAATAGTCTCCAATCACACAGGTCTTATCTTAAGTGTATGCAGGTAATTTCTTAAAAAGAAAGATTGACAGAGTGACGCATTAGATTAAATAATGACTGGGAGGACAAGAAATCAGGATTTTTCTCTCATCTTTTCCATTTGCTGGTCCTATGGTAATAACCAGAGGTGGTAAATACTCACAATGTCCAGCATGACATGACACATGTCAGAGGGAAATGACAAGAGAATGAAAATGTTAGGCTTGTGATCAACCTCAAAAAAGGAGCTGCTGCTGAGGTTGGTGGCACACACCTATAATCTCAGTGGCTGCAAAGGCTGAGGCAGGAGGATCATGAGTTCAAATCCAGGCTCAGCAACTTAGCTAGACCCTAAGCAACTTAGTGAGAACCTGTCTCTAACTAAATAATAAAAAGCGCTGGTGACGTGGCTTATCTCTGGTTCAAAACAACAACAACAAAAAAGTAGCTGCTTAATCTTACTGAACTTGGATCACTATTATGATCTCAAACTAGAATTTCTCTATGAACATTAGATCCTCCAAAATAATATTTAAAATTTGTATTTCATGGTAAAACATGTTTTTTAAATATGGTATCTTTTTTTAATACTTTTATTTTGTTTACTATTTATTTTTATGTGATGCTGGGGGTCAAACCCGGTGCCTCACGTATGCTAGGCAAGTGTTCTACTATTGAGCTACAACCCTATCCCATAAAATTATATGATGATGGATTTATCATCGAACTTGGCATTACCATTTGCTCTTGTCCTTGATGTGGTAGTTATTTGTATAGGAAAAGTTTCACAATTAGAAAAAAATCAAAACAATCGTGGCTTCTTATAGATCACTGATTGAAGTCATAAAATCTATAGACTATAAGATCAACGGAGGGGCATAAGCTGATTAAATTCGTGCTTTTTTATTATTGCTATTTTTAGAGAGGGGATATGGACTATTTAATTTATCTGTACATTGGCTAAAACAATAGCACTTGTTGGGGTGGGTATAAGTGTCATAAAGACTGTTTGACTTTCATTCTGAAAGTTCCTCATTCCTTCTTGAAACAATCTACCAAAGTCAGTGGAGAATCGTACTCAGCCTGTTGTCTTCTATTGCAGCATGCTTGAAGAAGAGGAGACGAAAAATCATAATGAAGAAGAAACAGAGAAAGTTGAGGCTGAAAAAGTTAAGAGAGAAGCCGTGGAGGTAGTTGTTTTAAATCATCAGAGTCACATACATATACAATGTCGTTCTCCCTCAACCTGTCTCCTACCCCAACAGTCCCAGGGTCTTAGTGTCTGCAAGCTGAGGAAATATATTGGATCCCGGTGGATTAGAAGACTCCTTTTCTTCTTATATATTAAGCCCAACAGGGCTAATATGCCTGAAGGGCTGTGCCTAGGTCTTTGTCCCTTCTTTCCTTTATCCTTTTCCAGTTTACAAGACCTCATCTCTACTTTTCTCTTACCTCTTACCTTTACTCCCTAGTGTCTATCTTTGATTCTGAGAGAAAAGTAATCATTTAAAAACATTAGGCAAGCCATGTCACCCAGAGGCCTCTCAGCTCAGAGTAAGAACTGAGGTCCTTCTAGTAGCTTAGAGGCCAGGCTTGGTCTGATCCCTGTCACATCTCAGACCTCATTTCCTATTGTTCTACATACCATTCTTCTGCTGGTTTACACTGACCATCTTGTTGCTTTTTGAACATGCCAAGAATCAATTCATGTCTTTCTGTCTTGTAGAATGATATCATGGTTAAAAATCTGAATTCAAACTTGTGCTCTCAGGGTTCAAATCCTTGCTCTGTCTTCTTACAAGTTAAGTTCAGATAGCCAAAATCTCTATGTCTTAATTTCCTCATTTATAAAATGAGAAGGTTATTATTACCAATAAGAAACTTATCTGTGTTTAACAGCACAGTGTCTCCCATATCTTTTTTTAACATGTTTTTAGATTTTGATGCACCTTTATTTTATTCATATATTTATATGCGGTGCTGAGAATTGAACCCACACATACTAGACAAGTGCTCTACCACTGAGCCACAACCCCAGCCATATCTAAGCACTCAATATATAATATCTATTGTTGCTGTATTTATTGTATTTATCTGTGTAATATCATTACCCAATAGGATGTATCACATTGCACAATTCACTAATTATTCAACAACTTTGCCTTCTATATGGCTTTGCTCTTAGGAAATATCCTTGACTAAATAAAAATTCAGGCTCAGAATATACATTAGTTTCTCCCTAAAGATTTCCTCCACTTGAATAATGTATTTAATAACTCTACCATTTATTATGTGAGAAAATGTCTTTATTTTACAAAATTTGCTTAATTCTTATAATTTCTTTTTATGTTTTCTTTTCTAAAAAAGTAAACACTTTGTATTAGTTTTCTATGTTTGCTACAACAAATTACCACAACATGGTGGCTGAAAGCAATGTAAATTTCGTATCTATGATTTTGTAGGATTAAAGTCAGACAAACATACCAGTTGGGCTAACATCAAAGGTTGGCAGGGCAGCCTGCCTCTCTGGAATCTCTAAGGAAGAATCCATATCCTGCTCTGTACCTTCTGGAGGCTATTTGTGTTGCACATGCTTGGACTCCTTCCTCCATCTCAAAGCCAGCAACGCTGCATCTCTCTGACTATTCCTCTGTGATCATATCTCACTCTCTATTCTGTCTCATCTTTCAATTTTAGGGGTTGGTTCTTGAGATGAAGCCCATTAGAGTAACCCAAGATACTCTGTTCATCTAAAGGCCTTTAACCTTATCTTTGTCATGTAAGGTAATCTATTCACTGGTCCCAGGTAGTAGGACTTGAACATATTGGTGAGAGTGAGAGTTATTATTCTGCATACCACAAATTCCTTTGAAAATTTAAGAGACAATAAATTGTGCTTTGTATCTGCCACAGTGCTTGCTTCAGAATAATGTTTGAAGATTTTCTAAAGAGATGAATACAACTACCTTAAATTCCAATTAATGTATGACTTAGGCCACTGAGAAAAATCTTGGCTAATATTCTCCTTCTACATCATGTTTTCTATGCTGTAGGGCATTGTGTTTTAGTTTTCAAAAGGGTAAGTGGAGAAAGGTTTCCAGTGCTTAGTTATCTGATTCTGAAATCATCCTCCTTTTGGCAGAAGCTGTGCAGTGAATACCGTCAGTATGTGAAGGATGGGTGGCTCCCCTGCACCAGAGAGAATGACCCCATTGAGGGCCTGGACGGGAAAATCCACGGCAACACTTGTTCCATGTGTGAGGCCTTCTTGTGAGTAGAGTTGCAAAGGAAAGCTCCGGTGGGTGAGAGGGTGACACTGCTGGTATCTCCAGGAGGTAGATAATGAAGGCTGTATAGGCATTGAGTTTGGAGATTTACTATTTTGAGGCTATATACTTAGCATGCTTTTCTCCTAGTTTCCTGAAAGGTACTTGAATTACTATCAAGGAAGGTCCATGTGCTAAGGGCAAATTTCCCTGGAGTTAATGGCATAAAAGGGTTAGGCCTTCTCTTTTCTGCGCACAGGGCACAGTTGTGAATAATCCAAAGGTGTAATCTTTGGGTACTAACAAGTAGAAAAAAGTGTTAACCTCTCATCAATATCCTAATTTCTTTTTGAGAGAAGGACAATATCTGTATTTTACAAAAGAAATGTCATCATGAAAATTTGTTTACTGGTTTGCTATTACATGTGTGTCTTATTTTTTAAGAAATATTAAAAACCAGAACCATAGCTGGGCATGGTGGCACATGCCTGTAATCCCAGATGTAATTCCAGCAGCTCAGGAGGCTGAGGCAGGAGGATTGGGAATTCATAGCCAGCCTCAACAAAATTGAGGCACTAAGCAACTCATTGAGACTGTGTCTCTAAATAGTACAAAACAGGGCTGGGGATGTGGCTCAGTGGTCAAGTGCCACTTGTTACCACCCCCCCCCCAAAAAAAAAAACCCAAAAACAATGATATGGAGGTGTATGACTTATTTTTTTTCCAAGTCCTGCGGTAAATAAATAGAGGTATAGAAGTAATGGAATATTCTTACCTAGAGTTATTTTCCTTTTAATATTCTCTATGTTGAGTGCTATGAATGATTCTCCCCTACCCATCTCTAACAGCCTGCAAGAAGCAAAAGAAAAAGATAATGAATCCAGAGAAAAAGTTAAAAGAGAATCTGAAAAGGTAATTGTCCTGGAAAAATACAAAATCAATCCTAATTACTGCTGGTAGTTACTTCCATGATCTTAAGTGATTCGTTTATTCTCTCTCAGTTTCTCAGATAACTCTAGAGTTTACGTCTATCGAGTAGTGTCTACATGTTAGTAACTGTGCATATTTATACATTTATCACATATTCTCATAATAATCTGGGATATTTATTGAGTACTGAAAACATATTGGCCACTATTATTTTAACCATGTACAATAGGTGCTATTACTTCCTTTTATAGATGAGATAACTGAAGTACAAAGAGGCAAAAACCTTTACCCAAGTCTCTTGATGGAAAATTTGGAATTCTAACTGGTAATGCAGTTGTCAGCATAGTAGTGCTTACCAGGCCACACTTAGGATATTATGCTGAATTTGTTAGGAAAGGGAAAGAATCCAGAGAAGGAAATGGAACTGAAACCACATCATAAACAGAACAACTAAAGTATCTGGGTATGTGTAGCTCTTGGAAGAGAATATTCAGAAGCATGAGAGAAGATCCAGAAAGCTCTCTTCAAATATCTGAAGAACATGCGTGAAAGAGGAAAAATACCATTGATTTTTCAGAAGGATGTAAAAGGCTTCATCTTTGCTTGCTGGTCTGAAGGAACATATTCATCCTACTTTATTAACTTAGGAAAATAAACCTGTTTTCCAAGATCTACCAAAAGTAGTATTATGGCTAGAATTATCCAGTAAAAATTTGGAATAAACCATCTGGTAGGTAATAGAGTCCTTATCACCGCATGTCTTCCAGCAGAAATTGAGTAACTTCTTGGCAGTCATAAGTTAGGGATTGAGAGACAGTATGGATGGTCAGACCAGATGAAATTTGAGGATTTATCCAACTCTAATCTTTTAAGTCTATGACATGTGCAGCGTTTTTAATTTTGTTTTTTGCATTATGATGTAATAGAGATAGACAGCAACCCCCTGAATAAGGACTGCAACCAGTCCTCAGAGAACCCAGTTTGTTAAGAGTCTTACTTGTGTGTAATTGCTGGTTCAGTCTGGATTTGGGGGATAACTTGCAAGGAAAAAGAAACACAGATCTCTTTTTGAGTTCTATGTTCTTAGTAGGAATTGAGTGATAGAATTGTCAGAGAAAAAAATCCCTAGGGAATTTCTTTCCCTCATCCCAGCACCTTTCAGGAAGTACTTAGTAGGAACCAACAAAATAATTTCCAAGAACATAACCAAGCTCTTGCCTTTTCTCTTTCTTTTAGGATAACTGTAGTGAATTTCGGAGCCTTTTGCAAAATGGAACTCTTTTCTGCACACGAGAAAACGATCCCGTGCGTGGCCCAGATGGCAAGACCCATGGCAATAAGTGTGCCATGTGCAAGGCAGTCTTGTGAGTGCACAGATAGAGCTCCTGCTGTGGGTTGAGAAAGTAATTGGGAGGCAAAGCTAGGTAGGAGATATATATGTGTGTGTGTGTTTGGGAGGGGGCTTTTCCCTTCCTTACATATAGAAGAAACAAATGATTATCTATCTTGATTATCTGTAAAGAATTTTAAGGTAAATTTATATATATATATATATATATATATATATATTAAAATTTATATATATATATATGTGTGTGTGTATATATATATATATATATATATATATATATATATATGCCAAGATTCATAGTTCTAGAAATAGAAAATACATTATTAGGTCATTCTCTAGTTCTGGGGTAGAGCCTCGATCACTACTAGATCAGAATATTTTTCTTGATAATATTTAAGTCCTTTGACAAGTATATCCCTTTTCTCGATTATTTTAGAATTCCCACTAGGAAGAAAACATGCAGATTTTACTGTCAATTTGAGTTTTCTATTTACAATTTTGGAAATATCACATTTTGGGAAATAAAACGTTTAGAAGTACATCTAAAATATTTAATTCATTCCATAGCAATTTTCTGAACATGTGTAATATATAGCATATCTAATGATTATACACAGATGAATGAAACAAATTCTCAGAAATCATATAGGCCCTTAGATATTAGATATAGACATGAGCTAATATAACATGAAAGGAATTGTTAAATGAAAAATGTTGGCATGGTACTTCAGAAAAAGCACAACTAATAGAAAGTTCTAAGTTGAATTAGAACTGAACCTTGCAGTTTGGGTCCGGTATAGACATGACAGGAAGGAATGAAAAAAGAGTGAAATAGCAGAGGTGAGGACTTCAGTTAAGAGAGCTATATTATGTCAGGAGCAAGACATTTAGTCTAATTATAATTTACCAACTTACAACATTTGAATGACAAATCAAGGATTCTGGGGTCAATTCTACACCTAGGAAGCTGCTGAAATGGTTCAGGTAGGAGAGGAAGTGGCCAAAATGTGGTTCCTTTAGGAAGATCCACTTGCTGGTAGTAAAATTGAGAAAGAGAGGGAAGGGCCCAAAATTCAGAATGCTACTGGGTGGGGGTGGGGACTGAGGGGAAAGGGTTTCAATAATCCAGTGAGAGACAACTAGAGTACAGGAGCAGGTTAGAAGGTGAGTGGATCAAGGGGGAAGAGCTGTGAAGGTGAATTCAAGGTTATGTGGCCACAGCTATACCAGCTGAGAGAGGAGCCCTCAGAGGTGATTCCAATACTTTTTTCTTCCAGAAAAGCAGAGAATCCAAGAGGATGGTAATGCTTGGTAGAGAAGCTAATTATTTTATGTGGGAAAGGCCTCTTAAACATAAGGTATTTATAAGAAATACAGCTGGAGATCTAGTTAACACTTAGGAAATGCTAATTAATGGCTCATCTTGCCTTATTTGTGATTATGTATATGTTGGTTTTCTTATACTGTCATGAAAGCTTTTCAGGCAAGGGTCTCCACCCAATTCATCCCTATTATTTTTGGACAAGAGGGTCCATAGTAGATGTTAAGTAAGTGCAGGTAGACACTATACAAATCTAACTTGGTCATATGATGAGAAGCTCATAGAAATATGCTCTGTGTTCTGGAAACTGTTTCTTGCTATCTTCCATTTTCTAATTTCTAGCAAGAAGGAAAGTGAAGAAAGAAAGAAGAAAGAAGAGGATGATCAGAGAAATTCTTCAGGACAAGGTTCTAATGGTGGAGGAGGGAAAGCTCAGGTAAGAGCCACCTCTAATGACATAACCAGGGGATGGACTTTGGGCAGTGGGGCAATGATAGGTCCTGAAGCAAAGGAGAATATAGGGAGTAATGAGCCAGAAAGGTGCTTGGAGGAACAGTGTATTTCTCCTGAAGGATGCAGGGTAAGATGTCAGACGTCACAGCTTCTCTAGGGCTCCTTTTGTCTTCTCTAAACCTGGAAGTAATTAGCCACATGAAGGCCTTATCCCAGTTTCCTGCCCCCTGTTCTGGTGACCTAGTACTTCTGTCAGCATTTCTTCTTACCAGTTTCACACGCTCTGCATCTTCTTTCACATGCTCTGCATCTTCTTTCATTATTTTTTCTTACCCTGGATGGATCCAAGTCCTGAGGCATCTTTTCTACTGGCCCAAGGCAGCATCACATGGTGAAAGAGCACAGGCTTTGGAGTCTAAGAGTTTGGGATACAGACCTGCTCACTCCCACTTGGACCTGTGAAGCACTGAATGCATCATTTGTCTCCCTTGCCTAACAGTACTCTTACAGAAATAAAATAATTTAGGCAAGCATTTAGTGCATTTTTCGAAACATTTTTAAGTGTCAGGATGACAATATTGCATATAAAGCAACTCCTCGGGCCTGTCAATACAACCTCCCAAGACTACGGCCACCTTATTTATCTTCTTATGACCTTGGAATCTCAAGATCATTTCTTTGTTTCTAAATCTAAAACATGTCCATTATTTTTATCTTTGATGAAATCTGTCCTTTCTGCTTTTTCAATATCTTCTGCTTTAGGAGGTTGAATTCTCACTCTCAAGTACACCTGTTCAGAAGTTTTATCCATCTTCTCTGTAATTTGAACAAGCTAGCTTTTTTGATAATTTATGTAACTTTACACTTATCCCCAGAATTTTTCTCTCCTTTCTACTCACAAAAGAAGTCAGCTCTTGTATTTACTAACTGGCATGTGGGTCATATGGTGTCTGTTGTAACTCTGCAACTCTGTCATTATTGTTGGAAGGAACCACAAATAAAGCCTAAAAAAAGGATCAAGGATGTGTTTTGATGAAACTTTACATGTGGGAGCCGGCAGCAGGACATATTTTGTCTGTGGACTATAGTTTGCCCATCTTTCATCTATGCTTTTAAATTCCAGTCAGCTTTATAACTTGCTTATGTAGGTCCTTAAAAGCAGCATTAGAAGCTAGGACACCTGACTCTTTATACTTAGAATACAGATGAGTCTAGCCCCTCTTTCTGTGTATATAGCAATGCTAGCTATCGTAATTCTTATAAAGGCAGATATGCAAGAACTTTTCGCAGGTTGTTTAATAAATTCAATGATAATTCAATAGTCTAAGCAATTCAGGAGGCCTGCTTTCTTTTCCCTTATTAGGATCCATGTGCTGAGTATCGGGATCATATGCAAAATGGAAAACTCAGCTGTACTCGGGAGAGTGATCCTGTACGTGGTGCCAATGGGAAATCATACAACAACAAATGTGTCATGTGTAAAGAGCTACTGTGAGTACTTATTACAACAGTCATTTCTAAATGATAGCCATGTATTCCTCCTGAGTTAATGGCTATTTCTAATTTTCTTTGACTTCCTTCATGAAAATCATTATTTTTGTCATTTCCAAAATATTATCTCTTTCTCTTGCATTTCCTAAGAAATATATACCCTAGGGGGCAGCTAATCAAGTTGCTGGTGCCCACGTTGTTTTTTATTATAATTCTTTGTGACCTCCAAATGCTGTTATTGATAGAGTTGTTCTTCAATTGTGCCTGAACCCTAGGAGGACTTCATGATGGTATTTGGAATAGCCAATTCGTACAAGAGAGCTTGTTTCCTGTTGTATTCATGGACACACTTATTGCTGTTTATTTTACCTTGGTTCATGGTACTGAATTAACATGCTTTATGACCCAGTTTGGCCCTTGTTTTGTGCGTTTAGGGCAAGTAACACAATTACTGTCAATCCCATCTGTTAGTAAAAGTAGTGTTTTCAGTTCCCAAACTTATCACAATATTCTTAATTATGGCATTTAATTGTTAAGTGTTTAACAATTATTTAGTGCCCCCTTAAAACACACACACACACACACACACACGTGTGTGCATATACACACACACATATGTTCTTCACCTTTCTACTTGAAAAAAAAATTGTTCATATAGGCCATGTGAGAAAATCTTATTTAAATATTACACTCTACTATTAAGAAAAACAGATTGATTTATTCAGGGTTTCATGAGGAGTGAACATCAGGGCTCAAGCTAGAATCCAGTTCTTCTGAATAACAGCCTATTATCTATTCTACATTATTAAAATCTTCAGTAGGAGCAAGAGTGGGGTGATGTGAGGGGTTAGCATTAGATGGGTATTTTAGTTCCATGTTCTTGAACAGGTCACATCCCTTCCATAGGCTTTAATAGCTCATATTTTAAGTCCAAAGAGGCAACAATAATCACAGTAGCTGTGTAGTGTTTCTTTTTGTAGTTCAATGAGATGAGCCATGTAAACTTCTTAGCCCAGCAACAGGCACAAAGTAGACATCCATTTAATGTGAATTGTCACTAGTAATGTTGACCTAATGTTCAGTAAATATTTGGTACAATATTTACAGTACTAAATAATCACTAATATTGTGGTCTCTTACATAATACCATGTTCTCTTTTTCCATGACTCATACTTTGTAGATATGATAAATTTAAATGATATAGCTCTTTTCATTTGTGACTTTCTTTCTGCATCATTCTTTAATAGCAAAATATTTTGTAAAAGAACATTTTGAATAAAACCACAGATCATCAAATGAATAAGATTATTAAGATAAAAATCTGCTATTATAAGATCTTTACCTGGAATAGTTAACAGGAGAAAACATAAATTGATTATTTTGACAATCTTTTAAAGACACTCATCCTACAATGGTTGGCTTTTAAATGCCTACCATTTGACAGGCACTCTACATGGACAGGTTTTCTACAAGTGAACTAGACAAAGTTCTTGCAATTATGAAACTATAATATAATATAGGAACTATAATGTAAAATAATATAGATAATAGACAAATAAGCAAATAGCTATATAAGACAAGATGATAAAGATAATAAAGCAACAGAACGGGAACATAGTTGCTGTTTTAATTACGGTATTCAGAAAAGCCTGAGCGTTCAGGGAGACCTGTGAAGTTTGGATGAAGTAAACCATTTGGAAATCAGGAAGAAGAAAGTTTCTGACAGTGCAAGAGACAATGCAAGGTCTGAATGTATGTGTGTGAGAATTAGCAAGCCCATGTGATCAAAAAGGAGGTTACAAAGATTATCATCAAAGATTATTGAGGAAGGGAGACAAATACAGGAAATGAGTTTTGAAAGATTATAGAAGGCTGTTTAGAGCCATGAGAAAGATGTTGAATTTTATTCTATATGTGTTCAGAAGATACTAGAGGTTTTTTGAGCAGAGCTATGACTATAATTCAAATTCCACTAAAGCCAAATAATTATAGGAACACTCATTTTTCCAATAATTTACTTGATTAAAATTTCATGACTTTAAATGTGAGTCTTAAATGTGTATTTTATTGCCACATCTCTATTTCCTGTATACTTAAAGGGAACTCCCTAAAATAAATATGTAAATATTAAAATCATAAATGTATATATAGGTATATAATTATATTTATACAAATCCTTTGTTTAGTGTGAAAACCCAAGTGAAATTCTGAAAAAGAAATAACACAAATTAAAGTTTTATATTGTTTGAATCTTGGGTTAACTGCACCAGAATCACCAGACTTGCTTTTTAAAAATTAGGTTACTGAAATCAAATTCAGTTTTATTAAACTGTTGATATGGTCAGTGAATCAAATTTTGCATAGGGTGATATTCCAAACTCATAGAGTGAGTTTGGAAGATTCCTTCCTTTTCTATTTCATGGAATACTTTGAGGAGTACTGGTGTTAATTCTTCCTTGAAAGTCTTGTAGAACTCAGCTGAGAATCCATCTGGTCCTGGGCTTTTCTTGGTTGGTAGGCTTTTGATGGCATTTTCTATTTCATTACTTAAAATTGATCTTTTTAAATCATGTATGACTTCCTCATTCAGTTTTGGTAGATCATATATATCTATAAATTTGTCAGTGTCTTTGATATTTTCTATTCGAGTATAAATTTTCAGAATAGTTTCTAATTATCTTCTGTATCTCAGACATGTCTGTTGTGATATTTCCTTCTCCATCTTGTATTTTAATAATCTGAGTTTTCTCTCTCTTTTTTTTGTTAGCATGGCCAGGGGTTTATCTATTTTATTTATTTTTTCAAAGAACCAGCTTTTTGTTTTGTCAATTTTTTCAATTGTTTCTTCTTCCTGATTTCCAAATGGTTTACTTCATCCATAATTTACAGGTCTCCCTAAACTCTCCGGCCTTTCTGAATACCATAATTAAAACAGCAGCTGTGTTCCCTTTCTGTTACTTTATTATCTTTATCATATTGTCTTATTTAGTTATTTGCTTATTTGTCTATTATCTATATTATTTTACATTATATTTTCTATATTATAGTTTCATAATTGCAAGAAGTTTGTCTAGTTCACTTGAAGACTACCTGTCCATGAGTATTTTATTTCATTAATTTCAACTCTGATTTTAATTATTTCCTGTCTTCTACTGCTTTTTGGTGTTGACCTGTTCTTCTTTTTCTAGGGCTTTGAGATGTAGTGTTAGGTCATTTATTTGTTGACTTTTTATTCTTTTAATGAATGCACTCTAAGAATTTCTTTATTTCATCCTTGATTTCTTCTACTATCCATTCATAATTTATTTGTGAATTATTTAGAATATTTCCAAACTCATTATATGAGATTAATATCACCCTGATATCAAAGCCAGACAAAGACACATTGAGGGAAGAAGCTTTAGACCAATATCTCTGATGAACAAAGATACAAAAATTCTCAATAAAATTTTAGCAAATCATATACAAAAATATATTTAAAAGATAGTGCACCACGATGCAGGGTTGGTTCAACATAGGGAAATCAATAAATATAATTAATAGACTTAAAACCAAGAATCACATGATTATCTCAATAGATGCAGAAAAAGCATTTGACAATATACAGCAAAACTTTGTGTTCAAAACACTAGAAAAACTAGGGATAGTAGGAACATGATAAACATTGTAAAATCTATATATGCCAAATAAAGCCAGCATCATTCTAAATGGAGAAAAATTGAAAGCATTCTCTCTAAAAAATGGAACAAGACAAGGATGTCCTCTTTTATCACTTCTATTCAACACTGTCCTTGAAACTCTCCCCAGAGCAATTAGACAAAATAAAGAAATTAAAAGGATACAAGCAGGTATAGAAGAACTCAAACTATCACTATTTGCTGATGACATGATTTAATACCGAGAAGATCCAAAAAAATTCCATGAGAAAACTTTTAGAAATAATAAATGAATTCAGCAATGTAACAGGACATAAAATCAACACCCATAAATCAAATACATTCCTATATATCAGTGATGAATCCACTGAAAGAGAAATTAGGAAAACACTTCATTCACATTAGCCTCAAAAAAATAAATAAATAAAACTGGGAATCAATCTTACAAAGGAGGTGAAAGACTTCTACAATGAAAACTACAGAACATTCAAGAAAGAAATGGAAGAAAACTTCAGAAGATTGGAAGATCTCCCATGCTCTTGGATTGGCAGAATTAATATTGTCAAAATGGCCATAATACCAAAAGATTTAGTGCAATTCCTATTAAAATCCCAATGACATTCTTCACATAAATAGAAAAAGGAATTATGATATTTATTTGGAAAAATAAGAGACCCAGAATAGCTATAGCAATACATAGCAAGAAAAGTGAAACAGGAGACATCACAATCCCAGATCTTATACTATACTGCAGAGCTATAGTAACAAAGACAGCATGGAATTGATACCAAAACAGACTTGTAGACCAATGGTACAGAATAGAGGATACAGAGACAAACCCACATATATATAGTTATCTTATTCTAGAAACAGGTACTAAAAATATTCACTGGAGAAAAGATAATCTATTCAACAAATGGTTCTGGTAAAACTGAAATTCCATATGTAACAAAATGAAATTAAACTTCTATCTCTCACCATGCACAAAAATCAACTCAAAGTGGATCAAAGACTTAGGCACTAGAACAGAGACCCTGCACCTAATAGAAGAAAAAATAGGCCCAAATCTTTACCACATCAGCCTAAGGATCTGAATTCCTTACCCTAAAGCACAAGAAGTAAAATCAAGAATCGATAAATGGAATGGATTCAAATTAAAAAGCTTCTTCTCAGAAAAGGAAACAATGATGTGATGAGAGAGCCTACTGATTGAGAGAAAAACTTTACCACATGCACCTCTGATAAAGCATTAATCTCTAGGATATATAAAGAACTCAAAAAACTTAATACCAAAAAAACAAATAACCCAATCAATAAATGGGCTAAGAAACTGAACAGACACTTCACAATTGATCAACAAATATATGAAAAAGAGTTCAACATTTCTAGCAATTAGAGAAATGCAAATCAAACTACTCTAAGATTTCATCTCACTCCTGTCAAAAAGAATGGCAATCATCAAGAATACAGGCAACAATAAATGTTGGTGAGGATGTGGTGAAAAAGGTACACTCATAAATTGCTAGTGGGACTGCAAATTGGAGCAACCACTATGGAAAACAGTATGGAGATTCCTCAGAAAATTGGGAATGGAACCACCATTTGACCCAGCTATCCTACTCCTTGGTTTATACCAAAAGGACTTAAAATAATCATACTACAGTGACACAGCCACATCAATGTTTCTAGAAGCTCAATTCACAATAGCTAGACTATAGAACCAACAGAAGAGAAATACAACTGATAACAAATATATGAAAAAGTGTTCAACATCTCTAGCAATCAGAGAAATGCAAATCAAAACTACTCTAAGATTTCATCTCACTCAATAGATGAATGGATAAAGAAAATGTGGTATGTATACTCAATGGAATAGTAGTCAGCTTTAAAGAAGAGTAAAATTATGGAATTTACCAGTAAATGGTTGGAGTTGGAGAATATCATGCTAAGTGAAATACGCCAATCCCAGAAAACCAAAGCCAAAATATTTTCTCTTATATACAGATGCTAATTCACAATAAGGCAGGGGCACTAGGGAAGAATAGCATTATCTTAGATTGGGTACAGAGAAGTGATGGGAGGGGAGGGGAGGAGACCTGAGGAAAGGGCTAACACCAATTTCACCTCTAAACCTTCTTGAGGGGATGTGGGGATAGTAAAGATAGTAGAATGAAACAGACATTATTACTGTGTGTACATAAGTGATTACATGACCAATATGATTCTGCAACATGTACACTCAGAAAAATGAGAAATTATATCCCATCTATGTATGGGATATATCAAAGTGCATAAATGCATTCTACTGTTATATATAACCAATTAAAACAAATAAAAAAATTTTGAAAAAGAAAACAAAATTTGAACAATCTCTCAGGTAATTCTTAATGCATGTAAAAACTTATAGACCACTGGCATAAATCATTTGTGAGTGTTTTAGTCAACTATTTCACTGCTGTGACTGAAAGACTGACAAGAACAATTAGAGGAAGAAGAGGCTTCTGTGGGGGCTCAACAATAGAGGGCCAACTCCACTCCTTGGGGCTCAAAGTGAGGCTCAACATCAGGGCAGAAGAGTGTGACTCAAAGAAGTAGCTTCAGACATGGCCACTGTGAAGCAGAGAGACTCCACTTACCAGACAGAAAATATATACCCCAAAGACATGCCCCTGAGGACCCACCCCTCCAGCCATACCCTACCTGCCTTCAGTTACCACCCACTTAATCCCTATTGGAGGGTTAACTCACTGATTGGGTTAAGGCTTTTATAACCCAATCATTTCACCCCTAAGCCTTCTTGCATTGTCTCACACATGAGCATTTGGGGGACACCTCACATCTAACCCATAACAATGAGAAAGATAAGATATAAAACAGAATGTGATCCTCAGATGCTTTTCATATTACTCTTATTTCTATTTTGGATTCCACACTTTGAGAAATGATGATTTAATGGGTTGACTTCAAAGTTAAGGAAGTGGAATGGGGAGTTGATGCAGCAGTAGAAACCATTGCTTATACTGAAAGACCAAGGACCTGAGGAAAGGGCTAACACCAAGGAGTAATAGATTGAGTGTCAAGCTCTGTATTGTTCTGAGAATATGATCAACAGAATGAAATTTAAAGTAAGATAAATCTGGACACAAACATAGGAGACTGTGTAATTGGGAGTTGATGTACCTTGTGATGAAGGTCAACTGCTCTAAGGTCAGTAACTCAGTGGACTGTCCTCCTCTATGAGGGGCAGAGGGAGTTGCTCTAGAGGAGGTTCAGGCTATGTAAACCATCACCCCTGAGTACGTGCTGCTAAGGTGACACTTTTTGACACTTTTCTCTCTCAGGCAAAAAGAACTAGAGGAAAAAGAAAAGAATTCTGGCATCAGATCAAATGAGACTGGATCAGAGTCAGGAAAGGTGAGTCATTAACTAGGTTTTGACAGAACTGTCTTTCTCTAAGTCCTCATAGACATAGAAAGGGGTTGTGAATATGGTCAACCAACATCTTGTCCTTTGAAGGTCAGGAACCAATGTTAAAAACAAGAATATTATTGGCAATTTGCAAATTTGGCAATTTAATGTCAAATGGGAACCTTCCAGTCTAATGATTTATTAATCATTACAATTAATAAATCATAGTTTATTCAATTGTCTCAGCAGCTTGTAAAACCTTTAAACTTTATTTTAGAGAAAATGAGTTTTAACAAGTATAGTTGTTTTTTAATTGCTATTATAACAAATCACTCTAAACAGTAGCATATAACAATACAACCTTATTATCTTAAATTTCTGGATTTTAGAAATTCTAAATGGTCTCACTGAAACCAGCACATCAGTAAAGTTGTGTTCCTTTGCGGAAACTCCAGAGAAAGTTCTGATTCTTTGCCTTCTTTAACTTTTGGAGGCAACCTGCTTGTCTTCAAAGCGAGCCAGGGCCTGTCAAGTCTCTATTATGCTCTATCATTGTGACCCTGACTTTCTTGCTTCCCTCTTTCATGGATAAGAACCTTTGTATTTACATTTGATCCAGTCTGATAACCTCCCCATTTCAAACATAAATGCCAGATCTAATTCTATATTCAATACAACCCCCCGCCCTTGACATGTAAAGCAGCATTTTTGCAGGTTCCAGAAATTGGGACACAGACATTTTTATGAGCCATAATTGTATCAAGCAAAGCAAGATTAACTGGCTGCCTTGCTCTTGGATGCAATCTGATTGTCAAATCCAGTCAATACTATGTGAAAACAGCACTTCTGACATAATGTTTCCTTCTTTTCAGGATGTATGTGATGAGTTTAGAAGCCAACTAAAAAATGGACAACTCATCTGCACTCGAGAGAGCGACCCCGTCCGGGGTCCTGATGGCAAGACACATGGCAATAAATGTGCCATGTGTAAGGAGAGGCTGTGAGTATCTACCAAAAAAAGGGGTCTTGTCTGCAAGTCAGGAAAGTGCAATTTCTCAACAATGTGAGAAAGGAGAAATTGTTTTAGAAGCAGATCTTGTCATTGATGAGGGGTTTATTCACTTTGGTTGAAATGTTTCTTTTCCTCCTTTCCTTCAGGGAAAAGGAAGCAGCTGAGAAAAAAAAGAAAGAAGATGAAGAAAAGAAAAATACAGGGGAAAAGAACAACAACAAGGAGGTGATACATGCTCCACACACTAATGCCTACACTAGGTTGCTTTGCTGTTCATGAATTCATCTGAAGAGTGTTTGTGGAGGGCAGAATTTCCCCGTCATTCCAGTTAGCGTGAAAGACGAGGCTCCTTCTTACAAAGAAACAGCCTGCTCTCCAGAGCCCCAGGATCAGCTCTGATGCACACATTTGTAGGGCAAGTGACAGTTCTCAAATTATTGTGATCATATATTCAGGGAATTTCACTTCTAAAGTTTTAAAACAAACAAATAAACAGGTACCAAAAATTACAAATAAGAAAGCAAGTACCAAAATTAGAGTTCGAGAAGATAAATTCTTTAGCTGGCATTTCAGTGCCACCTAGAGTTGATTTTGGCTTTATAAATAGTGTTCACCCTATAGAACATTACATAGGGTCATCCTTCTAATCTGTCCAGAGATTCCAAATAGAAAAACAAAATAGTAAAATTTTCCTAAGCAGGTTTTCCAAGTAGTGAGGCAACTTTTCATCAGTTCACTGTACTGGACTAAACAAAATGAAACATTAATAGTAATCATGATTACTCTAAAATATTTGGGCAATATCTATTGTGCATTTTAGTGATGAAAGGCTTTGAGAATACAATTTATTATAAAATTTCAGATGATCTGAACTGGATTTCATGTAAAATTTTGGTCAATTTTCATGTTTGTAATATTTTAGAAATTTCACACCAAAAAATAACTGTGTGTGTGTGTTTGTATTTAAAATATTGAGATTTCATGTATGTGTCAAAAGGCAACTCTGGTTCATCTGTAAGTAAAAATTACCCTATTTAGAAATCCCTAATATGTATGATGTGGGTTGTTGAAATTTTACAACTGAGAAAAATTCAAGAGACAGTGACTACACATAAATATTAAACAGAAGGGACTAAACCCTTAAAGCAAGAGTTGCACTACAGGCAGATGGGTACTAAGATGAATGTTTGTGGTACTCTGGGCACCTAGAAAAGAATATGATTCTAGTTACTTCTAAAAATGATGGTTGTGAGACATTTAATATATTTATCAGGTATTCAATTTCAAATTCCAGAGATCTTTCCTGCCCCTTCCTTCCTTCCTCCCTCCCTCCCTCCCCCTCCCCCTCTTCTCCTTCTCCTTCTCCTTCTCCTTCTCCTTCTCCTTCTCCTTCTCCTTCTCCTTCTCCTTCTTCTTCTTCTTCTTCTTCTTCTTCTTCTTCACTTCTTCATGCAGCAGATTAAAGCAGGCCTGGAAGGTGGGAGACATGGCTCAGTGGTAGAGGGCTTGCATGGCATATGTGAGGCTGGGTTTGATCCCTGCGCATTAAAACAACAACAACTACAACAAAAGAAGTCCTGGAATTGTTTATGAATATCACAATTTAAAGAAAAAAAACACTATGATCTCTAGGCATTTAGCAGTATTTTTTAAGATGTTTTCATATCTCTACTTTGCCTCTTTGAAGTTAAAGGAAGTTCAAGTGACTTCTACACATCTCCAAAGCTTTAAAAAAATGCCAGGTTCTGTGGACTCAGTTATATTGGCTTCTTTTTGATGTCCTTATTTTCAACCAACAAAAAAGTCAGTTTGGATGTGTGGTTCAGTGGTAGAGCACTTGCCTACTATGTGTCAGGTCCTAGGTTCCAAAACTGGGAGGGAAAAAACACTCAGCTCTATTTTTATTTTTAAGAAGTAGACAGGATTTTTATCTTGCATGTAAAAGCAAAGCAGTAAAAAGAAAAGCCTAGTTGTCATAAGATTCCTGGTCAAAACTCTAACTTTGATGTTAACTACTTAATATTGCTGATTCATATTTTTCTCATCTGAAAATGGGGATAATGAATATTTATCTTATGGATTTCTATGACCATGACAGGAAACCTATTAGAGCATGTAACAAATGCCTGACACGTAGTCCGCATTTGATTAAAAAAAAAAAGCGTGTGTGTGTGGCGGGGGGGGGGGGGGGGGTTTAAAAATTGTATTGAGGAACAAAGCTGAACATTTACATGTTTGTAGCCACAAGAGTGTTTTCCATTCATTCCAGGGCTGTCGAATTAGACTTTTTAATGTATATAGTAATGACTACAGTTGCAGAAACAGATTTAGTGGTCAGCATCTCAAGAGACTATGTAAAAATAGAATGTTTTCTCCAAGCAGTAGTGAAATTCCACTAGGGTCAGACAGTTATTGGGAGAGATTCTGTGGACAGGATTCAAACTATTTAGACAGAGATTGGATAGAATACCTTTAAAACACATTTCATCTCAGAAATCTCATTTTTTCTTTTTTTCCCCCTTCAAGTGTTACGAATTCATATCTAACCAACCAATCATGTTTTCAGGCTTCAAAGATTAGCCTATTATAGTAACATCATCTTTCCTCCTCCACCCCCTCCTGTCCACAGGATCTGTGTTATGAATTCCGGAGCAAGCAGAAAGATGGAAAGCTTGTCTGCACCAGAGAAAATAACCCTGTTAGAGGCCCAGATGGCAAGATGCATGTCAACAAGTGTGCCATGTGTCTGAGCGTCTTGTAAGTGAAGAGGCTTATTTGTCTGTGCATTTGTTATATTATGCCTATTACTTTAAAATCTAAGAGCCCTTGGCTTCACACATTAAAGATAAATAGATCTTCAATTCTGAAGAGAACAGTTAGTTTCCAAAACACTAAGATTTTTTTTTTTTAATTTCAATGATAAGAAGCATAATCCTATGTGAAGTCCCTGTGGTAGGAAAATAGCTACAGTCTAATGACAAAATCCATGGCCTTTCAAAAGGGGGTTTAGTAAGTAACCTGGGACAAGCCAGCTCACTTTGCAGAGCCTCAGTCTCTTCTCTCTGTGAGTGAAATACAACGAATACCCAATACAGTTGTTGTGGGGATTCAAAGTGAGAGCATTTTTTAAAACGTTTCTAAACTTCAAATCACTATCACTATGTAAAGAACAATCACAATGGAGAGTTTAGATATAATACACCTGGAGAGGTGAAAGTGGGAAAGGAAAACACCTCTGTAGATGAGAGAATAAATATATTCTATTAAGAGAAAATAAAGTAATGGCCTTTTAGGATTCTGTCATTCTATATGACAGTATCATAAGTTAAACAATGAAACTTGAGAGCATTGATTGCCACAGATATGATATGAAAACTCCAACCCCCAGAACAGACTAGGCATTTTTTCAGTATGAGAAAATAGTGTTAGATTTGCTAATGTTTAGAATTGGCAAGATTAGCCAGCCTGGTGGTGCATGCCTAGTGACTCGGGAGGCTGAGGCAGGAGGATCACAAGTTCGAGGTCAGTTTGAGCAACTCAGTGAGACACTAAGCAACTTAATGAGACCCTGTCTCAAAATAAAAATTAAAAACAATGGGTGACATGGCTCAGTGGTTGAGCGCCCTTGGATTCAATTTTCAGTACCCCCTAAAAAAGAATTGTCAAGATTACTTGTCTAAAGACAATTCATTAACAAGCCTTAAAACACACACACACACACACACACACACACGCACACACATCCTATTTTTCTTTTTCCTTCTGCAGTGAGCGAGAAGCCAGTGAAAGAAAAAATGATGAAGAGTCAAGTTCCAAGCCTTCAAACAAGCCTTCAAATGATGCAAAGGTTGTTTCTTAAAAGATACCAAAATAACTCTTCCGCCTTTCACCTTTAGAATCTTGCCTTCTTCTGCAGTCTTGGGATAACAAAGATACTAATATTTGATGTAAAAGATCATTGATTTGCCACTGTTATCACTCTGGGTCATAATGAGACTTTGTGGGTCTGATGCTTTTCTTGATTTTGTGGATAATTTTCCTAGAGCATGTGTCAATTATTGCTTTAGTCTTTCTGCTTTAGGAGAAATGAAGATTCCAGTAGTTGGTAGTCATTGGTTTGAATAATACAGGCAAGTTAAACTAATCTTAAGTCTTCTGGTTAGTTTCTCTCCTTGATGTCTTTTTTTCTGTTTTCTCCAGATGATTTTCTCAGCATCAACGAATCAATAGTGTGCATTCACCATGCTGCCTTTTCTATTTTGCTTTTCAAGACTGCAAAGAAGAACCTCCATTCAGTCCTTTAACAGTGATAATCACATTTGTAGAGTTGCATTCTGGTGGGATTCTCCTGGAGCTAACAGCACATCTAATGTGGAAATGGGGAACAGTGGATGAAAGGGAAAGGGCAAGAAGGAAGGCGTATCAAGTACTGTTTTATGTTTCCCTACATTTCCAGGACCAGTGCAGAGAGGTTCAGAGTGAAGCAGAGGATGCAAAGTTTAGACAGTCTGGGAGTACCTTGGCCTCGGTTGCCGGGATCAGAGCAGTGAGTCTGAGCCCAGAGCCAGCGGAGGACTACCTAAAGCCACCTTTGCTTCCTAAAGCCCCCTAGCAAAAAAAGGAAAAGGCCCTGTTAACCTCCCCTCTCTCATCTTCCAGGATGAGTGCAGTGAGTTTCGGAAACACTTGAGGAATGGAGAGCTCATCTGTACCCGAGAGCATGACCCCGTGCGAGGCGAAGACGGAAAGTTCTACAGAAACAAGTGCCACAAGTGCAGAGCTGTCTTGTGAGTAAGAAGATTCTGTTCTGGCTGTAGAAGCAGGGGAGCTGCATTTTTAGAAACAGTTCATTGAATAACTGTGTGTGCTCATGGAGCCACGGAGTCCTTCAAATAAGTCTTTAGAATCCTTGCCCTTAACGTGAGAATACGCAGCTTGGTAGAAAGAGTAGAAGGAGTGGTTGAACTTGCTGACAGGAAACCCAGGTGTAAGTTCTTACCATGATACTTTCTGTACCACTTACATTTTTTCCGCCTGCTTTCAGCATCATAGTTAAAAGGGATCATTCCAAATCTTTGTTCTACAACTCTATTGGATTCAGCAGAGAAGTCCTTTTAAAAGCAGATTTTTATACTTAAAAATTTATTAAATCAAAATTTCTAGAGCTAAAGAATTTGTGTTTTAGAAAGGGTTTCTAAATTGTTTTAATGATCAAACAAATTTTGAGACCAATGTACAAGTTGATGATGGTGACAATCAATAGTTATGAAAAACACTAAGAATAACAATATTTATTTAACTTTCACAGAGTATGTTTTTTGAAGTAGGAACTACCAACACTGTACTCTCTATATTCTAGGAAATTGAGACTCAAAGACTCTAGGCCACTTGTCTAAGGTCACACATCTATGAAGTGATAAGAGCTCTACACCAACTCCCTGTTGCATACTTTTCTAGATGTTTTTTCCTGGTTGCTCTCTAATGTTCTGGGTTCCATAATATTTTACCAAGATTGCCCAACTTCCCACTAGACATCCCATTCACATTCCCCTTGTGATTATTACTTTAAATAATAATAATAATGATGATAATGATGATGATGATGATATTTTGTTCCCTTGCTCAGTCAAAAAGAAACTTTTGAAAAGGTAAAACTTCATAAAATGTCATTCCACATTAGAGCTTCCGAAGAGGAAAAAAGCCCAGGTTCACCCAATTCTTCTCTGGTAAGAATGACTATTTTGAAAACCTATTCAAGAATTTAATTCACTTGCATTTTCACTACAGCTGCTCCTTTTGCATAATTCCCATTTGCTAGCAGGGTCTGGGGAGGCTGATTGGGTGCAGCCCCAAGAGAGAGCTTTGCTTAGAGGACTAGATGCAGTTCATGCTTGGTGACATCTCTGGGATTACTCATCAGTGCATCTTTCTGCTCTTTGAGATTATTAGCTGTGATTGCATTGGGAACATTCTGAAATTTTAAGAATTGGGTGGGACTAACTCAATGTGTAGTTAAACATGTAGTAGGATGCCTTAATTTTCTAATATCTGCAGGTCAGAAAGGTCCATCACTCAGCTTCCACTCATTTGCCTCCTCCAGCCCAATCCCTTCCTAATAGCCAAGAACACACAGCAAATCATTCTGGAAAGACATTACAGGGAGGCAAGGGCAGAAGCCAGATAATCCATGAGAGACTGCAGTAATTCGTGAAAAAGTTATGCTGGCTTTTACCACCATGGAGGGTAGAGCTCCTCAGAGGTGGTGGGATTCTGGCTCCACTTTAAAAGTGGAGTCAAGAGAATTTGTTCAGAGTCAATGTACTAAGAAAAGAAGCATCCTGCCTTTGTTGCTTCTGTCTTTTGCTTCTTTTGTGGGGCTTTATCCTGATACCAATCATTGCAGCTACAGTAACCTGAAAATACAACGGACTTAACTAGTTCAGTCCAGATTTGCCAAGATTCCTAGAAGTTCCTGTCTGAAATCTCCCTGAATATTTATATTAATATGGAACTCACTACAGTCTAAAGCAGTTTATTTAGACGTTTGAATTATTTATCAAAACAAAAGAACAAGTAGTTGCTGCCCAAATCCCTTAGAGTATCAACGGTTATAATACCGTTGCATTTTTAATTTCTTCTTTGTGTTTGTTTCAGAGTGTAGTTTCCAATAAATTTATTGATTTGTTCTAAGTTGTCAGTTTCATTGGCATATAGTTATTCACAATGTTTCCATGTTATCCTTTTAATATCTGTAGTTGATATGTCTTTTTATTTTTAAGAATGGTGATGTGTATTTTTCTGCCTTTTTCATTGACTTCACAGGTAGATATCACTCTATTAATCAATCTATTAATCTCTTCTAGAAGCTAGCTTTTGGCTTTGTTCTCTTTATTTCATTACTTTCTCCTTTTTTCCATTCTGGTTTCTTTGAACTTAATTTGCCCATCATCTGCTGGATTCTTGAGATAGTAGTTTTCATAATTGATTTTAAAACTTTCTTATTTTTCAATCTGTATAAATTTTAAATTTCTCTCAAACCACTGCTTAAATTGCTGAGATTGGATAGTTTATATATATATATATATATATATATATAAATATTTATTATTTTTAGGTGTAGATGGACACAACACAATGCCTTTATTTTTATGTGGTGCTGAGGATTGAACCCAGGTCCCACCCATGCTAGGGGAGCGTTCTACTGCTGAGCCACAATCCCAGCCCCTAGATAGTTTATATTTTTGCTGTCCTTTACTCTAAATCATTTCTAAATTGTATCATGACTTTCAGTCATGAGTGATTTAAGACTCATTCTTGTACTTTAAACCTGCCAATTCCCTCATACTTAAAGTATATTTCTTATAAATGATAATAGGACCTTCATGTTCTTCCTGCTTGACATTTCTGTCTTGTAACATTTATAATCACCATCAAATTTGTCTTCTGTCATCCTATTTGTTTTCAAATCTGTTCACCCTCCTTTAATTCTTTTTCTTTTGGTCTTACTTTTTTTTCTGAATAATCAAATTATTTTTGTTGTTTTTGCTATCACATTAAGTATTGTTCAACTCATACTTCCAAAAGACTATAAAAACATGTTTCTTCTATGTTGAAAATACAATGATTACCATGGAAAGTGTACTGATAACTAACATTTACTGAGCTTTTGGAATGCAGTAGACTCTGTATTATGCATGCATTCAAATACATTACTTGATATAATTCCAAAATCAATAATGTAAGAGCTACTATTATTGTTATTCAGGTGAGGAAATTAAGGCTCAAAAAATCTAGATAAATTGCTTCTCTACTTAGTGGCAGAGCTAGGTCTCAAAAACCCATGCAATTAACTAGTATTTAGCTGAGTTTTTTTTTTTTTTTCCTTCTAGGATGTACATTAACAGCACCTTCCTTTAAAAAGTGGATGTTATTTTTTGTGTGATTAACATCCTAATTTTCTTCCTAGGCATGCACAGCTTACCATGCCTGGTACTTCATGGGATTTATGCTCTTATTGTTTTGTTCTCCTTGGTTCCTTTGTTTAGAAAGTCGTCTTTTATACTTAAAAGAAGCCAAATCCAGGAGGTTAAGTCTGTCTAATATGGTGTGAAATAAATATGTAGTTTGTATCACTGTCCTGTTCCTAATCATTTACCCAGATGTGATTAAGGAAACCAGGATGTGCTCCCAAACCCGTCCTTTTCTTTGAATGCTGTTAAGTAAGTCTGCTTTATGCTTTGTTTGTTCAGGATTCCGAGATGTGCAAACAGTACCGAGTGCTGCCAAGGATGGGTTTTCTTTGCCCAAAGGATTTACAGCCTGTCTGTGGTGATGATGGACAAACATATAACAACCCTTGTATGCTCTGTCATGAAAACCTGTAAGTATGCAGGATGCACCTCAAAACTCCCAGAGCAGCCCAGCGATAGTGTTGACCTACACTAGTGTACTGATATCATATCATGTTGGTGTGTGTGTGTGTGTGTGTGTGTGTGTGTGTGGTGCTGGGGAATAAAACTCAGGGCCTTGTGCAAGCAACTGAGCTATATCTCCAGCCCTGTTGGGGAATATTTTAGTCATTTATAAATCATAACAGTTAAAAAATTCAAAATTCCACATCTTTCTTATATGTAATAGAAAGGATTCACTGCTATTTCTTTGATAAAACTGCTTACGTATACTGTTATATTCTTTACTGAGTAGAAGAGAACACAAACAGGGGTTTGGCTACAGCCATTACAGAGCTTCTCTATAAGCTCACGTATACTTATGGGAGCATGGACATCATCCGTCCTGCACATAGCTAAGGAAAGCGTGGAGAACCACTGCTGTGTAGAGTCAGCCTCACCTATGATGTCTAAACAAGTCCTATGGCTATAAGAGAGTCACTGACTTCCCACCTTCTGTGAAACTTCTTATTGAAGGAAGTGGTTCCATACAAAAGACAGTGCAAAACTTGCCAGGTGTCATGCTCACCTGTAATCCCAGTGGCTCAGGAGGCTGAGGCAGGAGGATCTCAAGTTCAAGGCCAGCCTCAACAACTTAGGGAGGACCAAAGAAGCATAGTGAGATCCTGTCTCAAAATATAAATAAATAAATAAATAAATAAATAGGCTGGAATGTGGTTAAATGCCCCTGGGTTCAATTACCAGAACCAAAAAAAAAAAAAAAAAAAGGAATCCCAGAGCAAATGGCATACTGATGTCTAGGTTAATTCTAATTTATTACTGTCCGTATAATCCAAATTGCCTCATCATTCCTTTGATATCTTCATTAAAAAAGTGGAGACAGTTCTCTAAGCAGCTGACTCCACAGGTTATTTAGAATAACTATTAGATGTGAAAATATTTTTATTTTAAGGAATCTATTTTATTGCTTTTACTATTGGTTTTCACTTTGCTCCAGTAGACCAGCTTTCAATGAAACTATGGTGATGGAGTTTGGCTTTTCCATCCCACGCCACCCTAGACTTACACTGCAGTTCAATTACTACTCGGGCCTTCTTTCAACACTGCAAACAAGGTCCAGGATATAAGGAAGAAACTCCTTGATATCCTCATTTTCAAACCTAGAAAATATCTGAATTGGCATTTATTCTATTTTGAATAAAATAACTCATAAAAGAAAAAAAAATCCCCAGGTCACATACTTAAAAACATAAATTATGCATATAAGTGCTTATGTGTTCTAGGAACTATATGTAAGTATATAAGGTATGGTAGATAGAATAACTTCACATTCAGTCAAGGAGTCCCTATAACCTGCTATGGAGGGATATTGGCATCTTTGTTCAGAGAGGTTTAGAGAGTTCAGGTAATTCATTAAAAGTTACAAAGCCAGGAAATACATTAGACAACATCTTAGCCTTGTTGATTTGGGTCTAAATAGTTTTTTTAATTATTTATTCACTGTACTCCAGTTATATCCAAAGCAGTAGCTCAATAAAACTTTGTGGAAGCAAGGATTCCTTTGGTAATATAAAAAAGTTACTGCTTTTAAGAATAGAAAAATAATGATGTAACATGAGAGACTTGTATGCATAACATCTATGGGCTTATGGGTGACTTATAAACCATTTATGAACCCTACAGAATTTAGAGTTAATAAGCCTTGTTTAAGCAGTGAATATTATCGTCTAGGAGATAAGTTGTTGTGTATACTGTACACCCAGTCCAGAAATCCTCCAATTCCTTTTCATTACAAGTATCAGGAATTAAATCATCTATATAATTTCATCAAACTTTGTATTAACTGTATAGGCCCATAAAAATTGATCCTCTATTCAAGGGAGATTTAGAGTCAGAAACTTACATGATGAAAATATTAATAAAGCATGCCTCAGGATGTATTGTTTGGCAAAAGAATCTGGGAATATATATTATAGAGAAGAGAAGACTCAGGTTATCCCAGACAAGAGGGGCCATTTTTTTTCAATGATGTTAGAGAAGTTGTAGGGGAGAAATTTCAACATAAATTCTATCCAAAGACAAAGTGCCCTTTCTTGTTAGACAACCAGTTTCCAACCCCAGAGGCAAACAAGTCCATGTTTGATTCATAATATTTCTTGAGTGATAGGCACTATAATTCCTACTATTTAAGATTATTTCAAATGATGAGGTACAGACTGTTTGATGGTGTCTTTGTTATATTTTCCGTGGCCCCAAGTCATATTACATAAATTTAATATAGTCAGCCTTCTCTCTGGGATCTGATCTTCCCATCTACAAAATCATGACCTGTGGAGTAGATGATGTCCAACATTCTGAAATTCTATGAGTATTAGTGGATGAAATGTGACAGTGTAGGTTCAGGGCTAGAGGATATCTGGAGCAAGAGAGACTGAACCTAGAGGATGAACCCTGGAGAATGGTTGCATTTTGATCCCAGGCCCTTCTAACTCCAGTTTTTGATGTTCAGTTTTACTTACGTTGATCCTTATTTATATATCATGTAGGATTCTTGAATCTTCTTCTGTTCTGTTTTAGGATGCGTCAAATGAATATACACATACGTAGTGAAGGGAAGTGTGGGGAAAGCAGCATCCCAGAAACCCCTGTGGACGCACAGGCATCTGTGAGTACTCGGGACTTCCTGTTCAGAGTGTTAGAAGCAGCTGGTCTGCCTCTGTCCTCTTGTTCTGGGTGATGGAAATTTCTCAGGCCAGAGAAGTGACACTAGGTCTGGTAACCCCAGAATTGGTCATATTTTTACTGTGAAGATAATTAAGTAATGATTGAAATATGTAGGAATAATAACACCAGTTTACATTTTAGACTCATTACTTGACTCGTTAATAGATTTTTATGAGCAATGTCTCCAATCTAACATTACGGTTTGCAGGGTAATTTTTATTCTCTATAAACCACATGAAAAAGATGAAGCAGAGAATAGGGGTAGGGTCAGAGCTGGATTGCAGCCATTTCTATGTAATGCTCATATCATCTCATATTACACTGCATTTAATTTTCCCAAGCCTTGAACATTGATCCATTTCATTTAAATCCCTGCAAGGATATTTTAACACATATAGTTATATGTCTGTCTTTGATAGTCTCCCTGGTAACTTTATTGAGAAGTTTCTTCCCCAGGCAAAATGATTTATAACCTGGAAAAAAATTTCAAATAAGAGAAAACACTTAGTTAGAAGATAAATATGGGCACAAATGAAAGTTTTTAATGTTTTTCATGCATGATACCTTTGGTGAATCACATAAATACGGTAAGCCAAAGATCTCAATGAACTATTGAAAATAATCACTAAGCACTGACTTTAAAACACATGGAACAGCATCTAAAACACAAATAACAACTTTTATTATGATGATCACTGTCATTATTATACCTAAGACCAGAGTATAAATTTAGAGATAGTCCCAAGTATAAATTTAGAAAAAGACCCTGGCATAGTGCTTAGTTAATGTAAATAAATAAATATTTTGACTAATTACATTTTAATGTGACTATACTTAATATTTGCATCAAACAAAATGAAAATATCTTAATAAACTATATTTAACAACTTTACTATTTTTCAATGGGCTTTACTTCATGCCACTGCCACAAAAAGCTTTAGCAATAATGGAATTAAAAATATTCTGCTAGATTTGAAAGCAACACTAAATGAGTCCCTATTGCCTTGATGTGGGAAATTGGGAATACTAGGAGTGTGATCAGGTATTTCTGGTCTCACAATAGCAGTGGGAAGGCAGAGTAGAGTAGACCAAGAACCAGGAAACCTCTATTTCTTTCTCATGTAACTTGACAGGCAATTATCTATGTTGGATCTTTAGACATCCATAAAAGACAAGGCTAGTTCCTATGTTATTTTCTAATCTATTCCATATATAAATTCTTGATACTATTTTATTGACAGAATATACTGTTCTCCTTCCTCACAAACATACCTCTTTGCATATATCTCAGAAAGAAGATGTGGAAATAATCTTTATTCCAGCCAGATAGACCACACCTCCCTGTAACAAGCATCCTGTGTGGGTGACTTGACAAAAACTACTTCAGGAGGAGCTTGCCTTAAGGTTACACTTATAAGATATATATATTTTTTTCAAATAATGAAGAATCTTGCCAGGGGGTCGGCACCCAGGGCTTTGGAGAGTAGTTGTTTCCTTTAATTTCTGGGTATTTCCTTTCCACTAGAGTTCCACAGCTGGTGTTATTAATGACAGGAAAATTTTTATAGTTTTCTTTGGTGAAACAAATTTCTGTACCAGAAGGTTTCCTGGATGTGGGTGCAGTTTCATCTACCTCTGTGTGGTTTAGAGTGATCTTGGGTACAGGTGGTACAGATGGGCATGGCTCAGTATTGCACTGCTGGTTATTATGGTGGTATATTCTGGGTTAGATATAGGTTAGAACCTATTGCCTGAGCTTTACTGCTGGGTGGAAGATCGTCCAAGAGAGTCTGGCATCCCAAGAATGAATTGATGCCAGGCAGTGGCAACTTTCTCAAAAAGTAGGTTGAGGATCCTGAAACTCATACATTTGCTTACTATCTAAGTTGTGCTTTCTATTATACAGAAACTACTAAGATTTACGTAGCTCTTTAGAGTTGCAAATACATTTTCCCTTTTGCATCTTCATACCATTCTTATGATTAGAGCAGGAATTGTCACCTTCCCCGTCTTATAGAAAACCAACCTGGGAGAAACTCTGCCATTTATCCAAGTTACTCAGTGCAAATCTTGAGTCAAGTGTGTGTCTTCTGACTTCATAATCCATTCCCTGTCATGATTCCTTAGTCATCAGGAGATTCTGAAAAACAGTCACTGTAAAGAATATCTTATTTCAGATTTGCTATATCAGGCAATAGGTTCCAACCATCAGGGAATATACAGCCATGGTAGTCATCTGAGCACTGTTGGACCATGACCCATCTATGGCAGCTGGACCCAAAAGTTCCCACATAAAGGAAAATACAAATATAATTTTGTGAGATGAATAAATAACTATTCTCAACGTTATGACATATTATCAAAGATTTGACAAGACCACAGCTTGTCCCTTTCAAACCAAAGGAAATCTTGTTAAGCTGATGTGTAGGTACTGAAATAAATAGTTAAGTTTGGAATGACTTAACTGCTCTTGCCATGATGGTAATAGCTGATGATATGCAGTTACCAAGAAGGACAGTCTTAGGCCTTCACCCCCTTTTAATTTTTTTTTTTTAATTTTGATTAATGTTTTAAATTTTGAGTTCAACAGTGTTTGAAAACAGGTAAGCCAGGAAAGGAGTATAGCTGATTCTATTCTAAAGGTGCAAAACAAACTGTAATAGAAGAGCATTAATATCACAGGCATTGGATTCAACATGACCTAATCTGAGAATTTAGTAAGCCACTAAGATCTGAAGCCCAATTTCCTCAACTATGAAATAGTGTTAATGACACCTACCTTTTTTATCATCACGAAGGTCACATGTAATCAAGAGCAGAGTTAAGCTATATTCATTTCTGTATTATCTACCTCAACAGGAGTTCAAACATGCTAGGAGCTCAAACGATATTCATAGGAAAACACTGGATAAAATGTGAAAAGAACTATAAATTGTTAATTCTTAGCAGAGTGCAGGAATCTCTGATTAAAGTACAGCTGTGTACAGTTCAATTCTCTGCAGTGTCCCTGACTTCTATCATCTGACCTTCCCATCTTCTCTTCCAGGACAAATGATTCAAGGATTGGTGGATGCAATGAGGGAAAAAATATGCCCTAAATTCTGAACCTCCTACCTTCGTCATCTGTATATATAAAGAATGCTTCAGAGTTCTTCTTATTTACTATAGAAAACAATGCAGAGCTGTTGGGACTGGACCCACTGATTTTCAGTCTTTTTCCATCTCTTTCCTCCTAGACACTGTGGTCTTAGAGCACACAGAAATCCCCACCTGGTCTGTGCTCTGAAATGCCCTGATCACAGTGTTGTCTGTCCAACTGCCCGTTTAATAAAAGTAGACTCCGCAGAACACCCTTTGGGGGATTTCTTTGTCACTGCCTAAGATAAAAGGAACCTTTTTTTTTTAAATTTTTTACAGAAGCTGGATAAACTCTACCCTTTTGTCTTGCTAATAAACTCACTGGTAGACAGACTACTCATTTTCTTTATGTTCAAGTTGCTGTCATAGTTGGGAAGGAGTGCCTAGGTAGGGAGAAGGCAGTGTGGACCCCTATGCATCCAGCAGTATATAAAGCTGCCTACTACAATACCAGTTCTCCTATTTGGCTCCTACATTTTCATGAAGAGCATAACTATCTCTCAGTTACGTAAAGCCATCCAGTGAACTAGCGAACTAATGAATAATTTCTCATACCCAGCCATGTTACCTCTTGACAATTCCATATATGGGTGCTTTGTACCCATAATCTGGGAAAGACTAAGGAAATGATTACCCATATGTTCAAGTCCCCAGAGTAGCAATCTCCAATAAAACAGTACAATCCACATCCATGCTTTCAAATTTTCTAGAGCTACAAAAGAAATGAATAAATTTAATTTTAAATAATGTATTTTATGTAGTCCCATATACCAAAGCTCTTAATGTAACTAACATAAACTCTTTAACTTGCAAAGTCTTTGGTATAGGTGTGTATTTGACACGTTAAATACATCTCTATTTGGACCATCCACAGTCCAAGGGCTGAAGCTAACAGGCATGGGAAATGAGGAAAGGAGGAACCAAGCATTAGGTATTGGTGGAATGAAATGATGTGTGGACTCCTGCCTCTGTGCTGAAACTCATTCTCAGAATCTGTTTCATGGTCTACCTCCGGGCCTGGTTCACCTGAAGATTTTGGGCTGGTGCTGAACACATTCCAGAGGAAGAAAACTTGAGAGAACCCTTCATGGCCCAAGGCATTCCCAGCCTCCGAACTGTGCCTGGTGTTACTAACCTATTTGGATTTGAAGAGTTAATTTTGTATATTTTCCTTTGCTCTTTTAAAAAGTGAAACCTCCATCCACTAGGCCAATTATAACAGGATTCTGTGATCTTTATCTTTTGTAACTGAATGAAAATCCATCGATCCCTATGTTGGTTTATTTTTTCCCTATGGACTATTAATCATTTTTCAAGTATGAAAAATATGGGGTTATTTCAGAAAAAAATGAGAATACAATGTTGGAACTGTTTTCTTTCACAATTCCAAGATTTGGTTTAAAGATTCTATGGCATAGGAGGCTGCATCCCCTTCCTGTTCATATCTAGGAAATCTAGGAACTCTTCATGACTAATAAGGTTTTTGTTGAGGAGCTGATGTTTTGTCATGTCATTTCATATGTTATTGGTATCTAAACAAGAAACCCTTTTCATTTCTCTCATTCTTCTTATGTAATATGTACAAAACTTTAATATTCTGCCCTCAAGAATTAACCAACCCCGGGCAATCATCCTGGGTCCCCACGAAAGAATGTGGTGAGAGACAGAGTGGAGTGGAGGCAGTGGGGTCTGGAATAGAATGAGACACAGGGAGGGCAGAGTTCCAGGGACCACAGTGTGACAGGAGCAAGGTGGAGATAAAGAGATCAGGAACAGGGTGGGAACAAAGGAAAATAAAATTGAAGGGAGAGTGAGGCTCAAGATCAAGGTTAAAAGTATGAATGTGCTGAACACATTATTTTGGATTTGAAAGAGTCCTCAAGTTGATTTCTTTTTAGATACACTAAACTAGAGATACATGAAAATGCCATCTATGTCAAAATGATCACAACAAAAATTAGCTGCATGAAATGTCAATGAAACTACTTTTGGAGTTACTTCTTGAGTTACATCCTGATTGGAAGGAAAATGAAAAGCAGACCCATATCCCTAAAGCTTCACAAACCAGCCCTAAAATTCTAAATTCTAGGATATGACAAAGGATAATTGATACTTTAGACTATTTTTCAGAATATGGATTTTTCAGAGATCTATCCCTTTCAATCTCTTTATTTTATTATATGATGAACTCTCCTGGAGTCTTCCTGTCTTTCTCAAAGCTTCAGAAACACCCAAGGAGAGGACCTATGTAGAATATGGATTGGCAAACATTTTCTGTAAGGAGCCAGTTAGAAAATATTTTGATTTTTATGGAATATATATTCTCTGTCACAACTATTCAATGCTTTTGTATTTTTAAGAGGAGAAAAAGTTTATTCACTTCTAACAGTTTCAGAGAAGGTGTCAGTCCATAGATAGTCAACTCCATTCCTCTGGGCTTGGAGTTACTTCTTGTTCAGGATATGGCAATCAGGAAGCAAAAAGAGCTCTGCTCACCAAGCACAAATTATAAACCTCCAAAGCATGTTTCTAGTGACCCACCTCCCTACCTGCCTACAGTTACCACCCAGTTGATCCCTATCAGTGGATTAATGCATTCATTAGGTTAAAGTTCTCTTAATCATCTCTCCTCTAATCTTTCTTGCTCACATGATGATCAGCTTTTGGGGGACACCATATCTCAACCATAGCAAGTATAGAGCTTCATAAAGGCTCCATTTGTGAATGGGATTAAAGCCCTTGTGAAAGAGTCTTTCCATAGCATTTGACTTGCTTGACCATCTGTCTTTCACCATGTGAGAACAGAAGATTCCTCCCCACCAGAGGATGCAGTAACAAATGCTGGTATTGTATACATAAATGTAAATAAATGTATTTATATTATGTAAAAAAATCCAACTCTATTTTAATAAAAATATGTAGATTGAGCATTGCTAATACAAAAATCTGAAATTCTAAATGCTGCAAAATTCCAAAAGTTTTGAGCACTGACATGATACAGCAAGTGGAAAATTCCACAGTATAAAACTTTGTTTCATGTACAAAATTATTCAAAACATTACATAAAATTGCCTTTGACTTATGTGTACAAGCTATATATGAAACATAAATGAATTTAGTGTTTAGGCTTAAATCTTATCCCCAAGATATTTATCTTTCCCCGCTCCCTTCTCTCTCTCTCTCTCTCTCTCTCTCTCTCTCTCTATATATATATATATATATATATATATATATATATATATATATATATAAGTCTATATATATATATATAAGTCTTGCATGTGTTCCCCAATCTGATGTGTTATATTATGGACTGAACTGTGTTCCCTCAAAGTTTACAGGTTGAAACTGGAACCCCCCAATATGACTGTAATTAGATTAGGGAAGTAATTCAGTGTTTTCGTCAGCTTTTTATCTTTGGGGACTTAAGGACTCAACCAGAACAATTGTAGAGGAGAAACAGTTTATTTGAGGCCTCATGATGGTTTCAGAGGTCTGAGTCTATAGAAGGCTGGCTCTATTCCTCCGGGCTCAAAGTGAGACAGAGCATCATAGTAGAAGAGTGTGGCAGAGGGAAGCAGCTCACATGATGATCAGAAATCAGAGACTGACCCCACAATCAGATATAAATATACACCTCATAGCCACTCTGCCAATGCCCCACCTCCTCCAGCCACACACCACCTGTCTCCAGTTACCACTAGGTTAATCCCATCAGGAATCAATTCACTAATTAGTTTAAGGCTTTCACAACCTAATCAGTTCTCCTTCAAACCTTACATTGTCTCACACATGAGCTTTTGTGGGACACTTCACATTTAAACCATAACATTCAGGCTAAATGAATTTAAAAAGTGAGGCCCTAGTCTGACAGCATTACTGTCCTTCTAATAAAGTGTGAGAGACGCCAGGAATCTCTGCTTGTGCACAGAGGAAAGCTCATGTGAATTAAGAAAAAAATAAAAAGTCAGGAAGAGCCCTTGCCAAAATCTGAATTTGCTGTCTCCCTGATCTTGGACTTTTAACATCCTGAAGTATAAGAAAGTAAATTCCTGTGGTTTAAGCCACCCAAATGTTGTATATTGTTATTGCAGCCCAAGCCAAATAATATGCTATTTTTTTTCTACTATGATTTGTGATGTTCTTGACTCTGATCAAGGAAGTTCTCATATCTTATCCAGTTAGATTCTAAATGTGTTCTCAAATAACATCTCTGTGGACTTTACTAGTGATGCATGATATCACTAGTGATGCATGATATCATAAACTTCTAGAAAAAAAGCAAAACAGAGTGCTTTATTTCCTCCATGACACCATCCTGGCACACAAATCCATTTTGATTGATCCCTATTGAAATGAAAAGTGCTATCTAAATAATATATGGCTATAAATGTTTTTCAGTCATAAAGAATGAACAGAGAAAGACTCATAGATAAGTGTCCCATATATGCTTAAAACCTTTAAGTAGCTTCCCAATTCCCAAGATGGACTTCAAACTTTTCCTGACACACTAGGCCTCTATTCACCTCAAACTTCAAATCTGTGTTGTCTTTCTCCCTTTCACAGTGTAATAATTTTCTTGAACATGTTCCCATATATCATTTCCTACCCATTTTTTTTGTGTGTGGTGTGTGTGTACACATGTGCGCATAAGTGTGTGCACGCACGCATATGGGTATGTGTGTCACAGTGGACCAAAACCAACACCTTGCTTCACAATTGCTCTCCAGCTGAGCTGCATCCTCAGCCTGAAGATCTTCTCTGTTCACCCTGGTCGTCTTCCTTCCTTTATTCCTTCCATCTTGCAAGGTTCACCCTCCAAACTATGGACTAATTATTTTTTTACCTCTTTACTAGTCAAGCTTTTACTCTAGAAGCTTTCCATAATCTTTTCTCCTTTGGATGTGAATAATTTACTGCATTTTTATGTTCCCACAATACCCCATTCTTACACCCAAATTATCAGCTGTCACTATTTTGTAGCTGCTTATTTATGAGTATCTTTCTCATCAGACTTCTCCAGAAGAGAGCTTAATGTTCTTGTCTATATCTCTGATATAGAACAATATTAAGTATGGATCAATTTCTCTTTAAAAGTTGTTGAGTACATTCAGACATTTAAGGTAAGGATTTTAAAAGAAGAGTTGTTTTAGGATAGATGGTTTGGGTTCTGGTCAATAACATAAAACTTACAAGGAAGAGGGAGGAGTATTATTTTTCAAAGAACTTAGCAATTCTACATTCTCTTCCTGGTACAAATTTGGAATTTCTGGAAACAAACTAGTTACATGAAATATGTATTTATAGAATAAAATCACCTCCCTTGCTGAGGAAGCCTACATTCATGAAAAAAAAATAATGGAAATTGCAGTTAAAGAAGAATGCAAAGAGCAAGCAGCATAAGCCCAGAAAAATATGTGGTGAGGCATGTTTTTGTAATTAATATTATGCTTACTTTCAACTAATTAATTGGTTTTGGTTAGCTAAATATATGATATATATTTGATAAAATCTTGATCAGGAAAAATGTCTTTATTTTCAGTTAATAAAATACTGAATTCACAGAGATAGAAGAAAATCTGAGATGATATTTCCAACATCTTATAATACACAAGGATATTGACACTGATGGGAATGTGATTTCCTGCATATCCAAGTGGGTCTAAATCAACAAACACAGGTTAAT